GATTTCCTATGAGCTGCAACTGATAGGAATTCTGATTGACCCCTTTTGGGAAGGGTGAGCAGATTTTAGTTGTATAAAGAATGATTGTTCTATGTCAGGTAGCAGTACTTTTGTATTTTAGAAGTATGGGAAATATATCAGCTAGCAAAAGGAGTGGACTATTGACAACATTTGAGGTTGGTACTGTTGATGGGGATTAAAGGAGGGCATGTCCTCTTTTACCCCAGGGAGGAAGAGGGTGGTTCCTCCATGCTGGAGGGGGGCAGGATAAAGTGGAACACTACTAAAGAAAATCACATCAGTGCCTGTGTCAAGACCACCAATAAGCAGAGGCCAACATTGGGACCAAAGTTGGGGACCTCTCCGTGGTCCCAGCATACTGCCCCCTTATTAGAAGTATTATACTATGCTCCTCATCTGCCCTGCCTGTGGGGCTGTAGGAGAGACGGAGGCCCCCGAGAGTTCAGGCAGACAAAGTAAGGGTGGGGAAGGAAGTTCAGAGAGAACTGGACCTCTGATTACAACGATAAAATATGAATACATATGAATTATGATAAAATATGAATTTCCTGCAATGGACTGAATCCTGTTGAAACTCTAACCCCTAATGTGATGGCATCAGAGGTAGAGCCTTTGTGAAGTACTAAGGTTTAGATAAGGTCATGAGGTTACAAGGGCACGGTCCCCGTGATGGGTTGAGCGCGCCAGGAAGAGAACTCTGACCAGGAACTGAATCTGCCAGCACCTGACCTTGGACTTCCCAGCCTCTAGAACTGTGAGGAATATTAAGCCCCCAGCCTATGGCATTTTGTTACTGCAGCCAGAGCAGACTAAGACAACTGCATGTTCACCTCAGACAGGCTATTTTAAGGACCAGATTTGATTACAGGAATCATTTGAGTGGATGAAAATGTAAACAAGAATGGCAAAAAAGAAATTCATTGGGGCTGACTGGGGTGCTCTGAATCCAGAAATGTCTACTCTGTTTTTAAGACTAAAAATTTTCACACTCAGATATAGCTGTGTGAGATTGCTCAGACTGGTTACACGTGTGTCCCTAACGTTAGGCTTCAGTCTCAAAGAACAACCTAATCATCTTCCCCACACCTAGTTTGCCCAGTTTGTGGCACTGACACCCACCCAGTTGCCCAACCTAGAAACTGGCTCCATCCTTGTCTCCTCCCTCTGTATGCCTATCAGTTATCAAGTCATCACTTCTTCTTAAATGTCTAGACCTAGACAACTCACCTTGTCCTCATTGCCACCATCTCTCCTCAGACCTCCCCCACTCCCCATCAGATCTTCTTACCTGGCTCTGGTTTGGACAATGATGTTGGAATCCCTGGGCCGACTTTGGGAGAAATCCTGGAACCTTTTTTGACTGGAGAGGAATCAAGAGATTTAGGGACTAACCAGCAAAGGATACATGGGTTTTGGTCACTGGGTGGCTATAGTGAAAAGGGACCTGTCTAATTTGGGGATGGGGCTGGGTAGGCACCGGGGGTTTCCAGAAGAAGTAAAGTTTGTGTTATTAGTCTATGTCATGGATGAGTACTGATCCTGTTTGGAGCTGTCAGTGTTAGACTTCCAGATAGTGGCTCAGCCTTGCTTAAATGCCATAATTACATTTATTCCTGTATGCTGGTTCTTGGGAAGGATAACTCCTCATAAATTAGCCCTTTAGCAGATCTGCAGGAGGTAGGAGTCTACTGATTGTGCTCTCATAATCACTTTCCCTTCTTCAGTAAGGAAATTCCTAAGTGTTGGCTAGGTAGAGTGCCATCCAGAATAAGGACTGTATTTCCTAAACTCCCTTGCAGCTAGGTGTACCAGCTCTGGATCCTGATGTGATTAAGTTCTAGCTAACTGTGCAAACGTATGCAACTTTTAGGGATTACCCTTAAAGGGAAGGGGCATTATTTCTGTCTCCTTTTTCCTCTTTGCAGCTAGAATATGGGTGTGTTGGGTGGAACGGGAAGTCATTTTGGACTATGAGGTAGACAGTGTATGTGGAAGATAGTGAAGCCACCAGATTTGAGGAACAGGGTGCCGATAACCTTGCTGTTTATCTTAACCAGCTCTGGATTCCGGTGTTTATCTGAGAGAAAATAAACTTCTATTTTGCTCCAGACACCTTTACTTTGGTTTTTGGGTTCAGAATTTAATACCTGAACGTGGGATGCTACAAATACCATCTAAAATGTAGCACTGGCTTAGTGGAATTGGCAGGCCAGCAGATGGTAGGAACAGAATTGCATTTTTACATAATTGCTTTTTCCAACATTTGATGAAATTGTCATCTGCAGTAACTTGGAGGATGGACCACATGCTGCTGAGGCCATGACAATAGAGAAAATGGGGGAGGATGCGAAAGCATGACTTGCTCCTTGTTGCTTTTCACAAAGTCCTACACAAGTGAGAGGAACTGGGGCTAGCGCCAGCCAGACTCAGCAGAGATGGGAGGGGATCCTGCTTTGATAAGGGAGGCACTGTTTGCAGCCTGAACTCAAAGTTAGGGTTCTGGAGCGTAGAAATGCCTGTTCTCCGAACGGCAGCTCTGAGGGCAGTAGCCTTGAAGTGGCAGCCTAGGCAGGAGTAAGCCAGGCAGCAATCGATGCCAAGACTTCCCTGCCAGCGCCTGCAGACCAGGTGGATCCAAAGATCAGATTAAGGGCGTTGTCTCAGAGAGGGAGAAAAACCACCCCCAAAACTATGTGGCAAAGAAAGGAGGGGTGCTTAAGAGCAAACATGGCTGACAAAATGCTAGCCATTGAAACCGGGTAATGTTGCAAAAGTGCTCATCATAGTCTCTCTCATTTGGGATAAATGTGAAATATTCCATAATACAAAATTTAAAAATAAGACTATCTACAAACAAATACACAAACAAACAAAGGGTGTTTCCCACTCTAGGTCCCCTTTCTGGTGGCCTTTGAGGAAGAGGCACCACATGCCAGGTTAGATCAGATCTTCAGCTGTGGGTACTTGAGGAAATTCTACTGGCAAAGAAAACACAACACTGGGACCGCCCCCAAACTGCCCCGAGAGTAAGCAGGCCTCGGAAACTGTGCTGTTCCCAAGAAGTCCTCCGGCTGCAGGTCCCACCACGTAAGTGGCCATGGAGGTCAATGGACAAGGAGTTCCTCCCAGAGTGGGAGGGGCCAGCAGGAGGCTCTCCAAGGGACTGGCGGGCCTGCCAGTTGTCTTCACTCTTCCTGTGCAGTGGCCTTTGGCAGCCACTTGGAGCGCTGTTTCCTGTTCTTCCCTCTCATGAAGGTTTCAATTTGTTTATTTGCTGCTGCTTCACTACTGTTGAAGGGTTATGTTGGGAGAAGATAACTTTGTCTTGAGTTTATAGGTCACTAGACCACAAGAAGCCACCCAGAGCTGAAGGAGACCACAAATTACCCAAAGGTGATTTTATCTTTAGCCTCATGCTCTCCCTGGATGGAGTTTGGATTGTCTTACCTTGAGGTAAAGAGTGAGCTCTATGTAAGGCAAGAAAGGTGACCCAAGGATTGAACAACAGCAAGACCACTACTTGCCCCTCAAACACATTCTTTCTTTATTTCTCAGAACTCCTCAGAATTTCAGTTAGGTACCTGGTTACTTAGAATAAGAACTACCTCTCCCAGACTCCCTTGCAGTAGGTATGACCCCGTGGCAAAGTTTTGATCAATGGGAGGTACAACATCCAGATGACACACCCTGAGAGAAGGGGTCTTGCTTTTCTTCTCCCACCTCCCTCCATCCTGCTGGCTGTAGTGAAAACGTGGCTGCAGCAACCACCATGGACCTCAGTGTAGAAACTTCACATTGGGGATGGCAGAGCAACAAGTTAGAAGGAACCTGGGACCTGAGGATCATGGAGACACCCAGAGTACCCAGCATGATAGAGGGTAAAGAACCTTGTATTTTGTGTAAGCTATTGCTGGCTTGAGAGCTGAACCTAATTCTGACCCAGAATTTGCTATCCATACAAGGTTAAGACTGACAGGTGTTGCACATGGTCATGCCCTGACCAGATCAAAGGTGGAGATGGGTGGAGAGCATTCTTCCCAAAGACTTAGTATTTACTGGAAAGAAAGCAAACAAAATAAAAAAATAAAAACACTTCCAGAAATCATGACAATTATTAGAACAAAAATGTTAACACACAATGCTAGTGTTGCATAGCTTGAATGTTTTTATATTAATCAAATTGTTTGCAGTAGAATCACTGGCAGAACAGGTGTGAATGAAAAACATTCCAAATGTACAGAAAAAAATATTGCTGATCAATTAATATAATTTTCAATAAAACTACATAACACAAATCCTTTGTTGCTCCAAACAGAATGTGAGTTATTAAGATGGCAGGCAGTCCAGCCATCAGAATCCCACATATTTGGTTCCTCAGGCTGAGGTCAGAGTTTTTTTCCATCTTTACTGAGTCTCAGCTCAGTGTAGATGGCAAGATGGCAAGAATCAGAGGTGGTAATCCTTGTCTTTGCATTCAACAGCATCAAGGTTTGAGGGACAATGGCTTGGGGACAAGTCACAGAACTATGATACGTCTCTCTCCAGAAGTGACATGGGATTAATTTCAAATCTCTGGAATATAGACTCTAGCATGGTAAGTGTTGAAAGAACCAAAGAATTCATCCACTCCAGGCCAACCTTTCCCTTTTTCATATGAGGAAACTGAGGCAGAGGGCAGCACATCTTGCCATAGTCTAGGTCTCAATCCAAGGCCTGCCTCTTGAGATCTTTCCACATTGATGCAGCCTCTTGGTTGCCACTCGAATGATAACCTCCAAGCAACAAAAAATGTCAAGTAGCAACATAGCAGCAATATTGTCTACATTTATCTAAAAGCATATTAGGTATAAATGACTGTGGTAGGAATTAAAGGCCAGCACAAGTTTGTGATTCATACTCCTCCCACCACCCTATGCCACCCCCATCCAAATGGAGTTGAATATATATATATATATATATATATATATTTTTTTTTTTTCTTCTGGAAAGTCGAAACACTAAGTGATGGCTCTAATGGGCCACACCAGAAGGAATCTCCCGTCTCGATGAAGTCAGCACAGAGATGCACTTAAAATTAGACCTTCTGGAGGGCGTCAGAAGGCAGAATGCAAATGTCTTCTTCGTTCACACCAGCCATGTTCCCAGTCAAAATACTGAGCCTGATTTTGATGTTCTTCACTTAGGACTTAAAAAAAGGCTTTTAAAGTATAATTGCTTAAGTGTGTAAGATGGTAGAGCAGAAATCTTGAGTGACAGAATTTCATCAGTAGTATCTACGGTATTTACTAGCAATATTTTGCCCCTGTTGGTAATCCCCTTATCTTGTGCATCCCCAGTATTTTGTGGGTTTTGTTCCTGATAACATCTGCTGGGTCTGAATTAATGGCCAGCACAGGGGCAGAAAAAAGCTAGCTGCAACCTTTGGTAAGCTTCTTAGGAATTTATGTGATAATAACAACATTTCTGCAACCATATTAAACAATTAAAAAACATAAAATACAAATCTGTAAATACATTTAGACTTCTCAAGCTTTTTGCAGACACGATTTTTTTTTTTTTTTTTACCAGATGATAATGATTTGCTAAATATCCTGATGGCATTTACATTTACATCTGCTTTTCTGTCTTCCCCTCTTTTTTTTTATGCTTTGCACACAGAATTTCTCTGAGTCTGGACTGAATGAAGGTCTGATATTCCTTTGTACTTCTGTTCTTTCCAGAAGAAAAGCAACTTTATCTTATGCAAACCCATACGACCCTTCTTCTTTTCCAGGGGATTTGGGGAAAATCACTGATAAGTTAACTTTGCCATGTAATTTGTCCACAGCAGTGTCAGATTCCAGCGGATGAAAATTCAACGTCAACTTACAAGTCCTCAGTATTATTTGTCCTATTTACAGATGAGGAAGTAAAGATAGTGACCAGGCCTAAAGCTAGTTATGGATGAGTGGAACCAGAAACCTAATTTCCTACTGCTTCACTCTACTCTCCTGCTTTCTCCTGCTAGCCCGGCACCATGCTGACAAGGATGGGGCTCAGGTGGTCACCTGTCCCACAAACAGGGCTACAGCACGGAATAACACCTCCCTCCCACCTCTGCCGGTTAGCAGTAGAATGAAGGTAGGGGAAAGATGGGAAGTATGCAAGTAAATACACTGGATCTAGAGATAAAGGTCTTTATTCCTCTTGCAACCAGGAAACTATTCAATCGGTCTAGAGTTTGCTTAGGCATCAAAATGGCTTCACTTCTGTGCACTATAATAGAAAAGCATCCTTTTTCTATAAATCCCATTAAGAAACTGCCTTAGCTTCCTCTTCTGAATACATAAAAACCGCCTCTTAAACATAACACATTAGATTTCTTTTGTGGTTTATTTCTCTTAAATAATAATTTGCTACAATCCTGTCAGAGATTTTTTTTTTTTTTTTTAAATGGAACACAGTATTAACAAAGGCAGGATTCTTCAGGACAATCAGGATCATGGCGCACTTAGAATAAATTAACATCAGCTCGTGTTTATATTCAGATAGTCTGATCCTCTCCTTTGAAATGAAATGGAGACCATTGTAACCGAGGGTGAATGCACACGTTTGTTCCTTACAGAGACTCATTCTTTACATCAACTCCACCGTCGTTTGAATGAAGTGAGGAATCCTGAGAAACACTCAGCCACGGGTGCGCAGGCATTGACTCACACCCACAGACAGCCCTCTAGAGCTGGCTATTCCCGTATGCGATGGCTGGGAGATCTTCCCTCCGAAGGGCCAAAGATTCCGAATAATTAGGTGATATCCCATCTCCCCTCAGGAAAACGATAATGCTTCAAGTGTCATAGCTCGAAGTAGCAGCAATCCATGTAGTAGATTCAGTAGTTGACGGCTCCAGTCTTGGGCGCCGTCAGCTCAGCGAGAGGCGGACAGAGGCGAGCGGCACCTGCTCCGACCACCAGCACCCAGACACCAAGGCAACACCCCGCATCCTCACTCTCCCAGTCCCAGCTGAAAACTCACCCGAACCTAAACGACTAACTGGTTCGGGCACCATGTGTGGACCGGCAGAAGGCCCACGAAGGCTGGCGGAAAGCGGGGCGCTCTGGGCACGCTCCTCGGGGCCAAGAGAGTCAGAGGCGCAGGGCGATGGGACGAAGGAAAGGGAGGCAGGAAAGGGACTGCTCGTCCTTCAGCCGGAGAGCCCGCCCCCTGCCTTGGGGTAGAGCCATCTTGGTTTCCTTAGCATCGGGCGTGACTGCTACCTGCAAAAGGGGGGCCATTCCATATGCAGCTCGGCCCGGAAGCACAGAAAGCTCGGTTCGTAGAGTCCCGCACACATATACACGCAGAGCATCCGCGTGACTCCGAATCGCCACAGCGTCTTGTTTCTGGGAGGTCACAGCGCTGCTGGCGTCCCCTCTCGAATGCCCAAGGATGGCTGAGGGGATCGTGGTGACGTCTGGGGAGGAAGGCATCGGGACAGGCCCCAAACGGAGACCCCCTTCTGCGCATTTCTCTCCGGAGGAATCCCGGGCCTAAACGATGCTACCGCCGCCTGCGTGTATCTACACAGTTCCTATGTACACGGTTCCTTTGTCATAGAAATTTAAAGTGCTTGGGGTTCAACGCGCCCTCTCCTCTCCCGCACCACAGCCTACAGGTTCCCCTTGCTGCTTCCAGAGAGAAGGCCGGTCCTTGTGGAGGATGCCCTTGGAAAGAGGAATGAGCGTTTCACAGTTGCCTTAGCTGGGATCCAGCATGGGGACCAAGCCTTCTTCATGAACACGAAGAATGGCTTCGCAAACAAACTTGTACTGGCTCTGGAAAAGAGAAGACGGCTGTCAAGCCCACCGGCAGCCCACAACCAGCCCCTCGCGCCCACGCAGAGTAATCTGATAAATACCCTCGGAGCTCCCGCGCTGGCCGGGCTAGGCCTGCTCTGGGCTACATGCCAGGGGAAGGGTGGAGAAGACACACCTGCGACCCCATGATTGTTTCAAGAAGGGGGGAGGGGGGAAGACACTGTTCCCAGAGTGAGATGGGCAAAGGGAACCAGGGAACCAGGCAGAGGGAGGAACTGGCCGCCTGGAGGAGTCAGGGAGGATGACGGTTGTTCGGGCTGGCCACCCCAGTGCAGGCACACCTGTGGAGGCTCCGAGGAGAACGGCCCATTCTGAGAACTGCAGTCAGAGCTCAGGGTCCTGGCCCAGGACACCAGGGCATGGAAGGAGGAACCACACAGGGGGCCAGAACCAGGTCCTGAGGGGTAAGGATCTGGATTTTGTTTTAAAAGAAGAGCCACCGAAAGCTGCTCTAAAGAAGATGGTTCTATTAGCAAGCACCTGAGAAACGTGCATTTGAGTGATGCGTACAGGCTGAAAGGAAGCACTGAGACTGAGCTCACCAGCTGGGAACGTTACCCAGATGATGCACCTGAACAATTTTAAGCCAGCAAGGAGGTCTTCCACACCACGGAACAGGGTCCAAGACAGCCTTAATAACCTGAATTTCCCCCCTCTCTCTTACCCAGACGGTGGGTACAAACGAATATAAAACCTCAAGAGCTCACAATTACTCGAGCCATCTTATAAATGTTGCCCACGAGCCTGTGAGAGGGCACAGAGTAATTACAACACGGCGTCCCCTCCTTCCTTGTTAACTCTCCCGGGGGCTTTGGCTCAGAGGCCCCTCCTCCAGAAAGCCTTCCCTGACTTTCTCAAGTGTCGGCTTCTGTTTCTCTTCCACCGGGTTCTCACATTTCCCGTGGCCTCCTCACTGCCGCTGAGATTTATCAGTGACCAGACCAGTTCTACCATCATACAGATGGGCTCGGGTCTCTCCTTTTGCGCAATGATCCGATGAATGACTGAATATGGGATGGCCCCCCTTTTGCAGATAGGGAAACTGGGTCTGGGAGAGAGGTTAAGGGATGACTCAAAGGTTGCCCGGTAGGCGGGGGGCCTGAGTCAGGGTCTTTCCACCCCACCACCTCTCTTACAGCTCTGGGGAAAACTGCAGGATTTCCTCTTTAGGAGACGCGCAATGCAAGTCCCAGGCATGAGGAGGAGGGAGGAGGGCCATGTAGGAGGTTCCCTGAGCCAAAAGGCTCATCTTGGGACAGGTGGGAGGGGGAAACCCTCAGGTGTCCTTGCTTACTTCCCGTGGACAAGTGATGGGCCTGGGGGTCGCCATGCAGAATGCCACCAGGGCTGCTCCCTGGCTGAGTAGTTGGCAGGAAACAAGCCGTGGAGGCAGCAGAAGTGGAGGCTGCGAAAGGCAGGGGCCAGATGCGGCGTGCTGTGGAGTAGCTCAGCCTGACAGGCTGTGACCGTGGGCAAGTGACTCAGTCCCCTCGAGCCGCCGTCACCTGACCTGCCCTGCCCTTTGCTCAGGCCTGGCCCGGGGCAAGCGCTCAGGGAGCATCGGCCATGGTCACTCTATTTACTGTTGGATTCCTACTCACTGATGTCTGCACCATCATGGCGCGCTGGTCTCGCATCTTCCGGACAATATCCAGAGGGTAAACGGGCAGGTTCCTCTCGATGAGACACATGGCTGTTTCCATGGTGACCAAGACACCGGTCCGACCTATTCCAGCGCTGGGGGGAGAGGAGCAGAGGCTTGGAATTTGCTCAGCCAGCATTTCTTCCAGCCCAGCCCAGCCCAGCTTCTCCAGCTCCTCCCAGGCCCCACCTTTACTTAGACAGGGTCCGGAACACACACTCAGGGCGCTCCCAAACTGACTGACAGAGCCTCTCCTCAGAGTGAGGCCTGGCACTTAAAACCAAAGGAAAGACCCTTCCCCCCTCCCCCCCCAAATCTCATTCACATCTCTCCTGCAGGGCAGCGGCCTCAGCGTAGATGGAAGAGGGAGGGACTCTCCTCTCCAGCTCCGCGCTGCACTCGGAGGTTATGCTTCCCAAAGTTCCACATCTCCTGACGTCGTAAAGAAACAGTCACCAGAGCTTTGTTCAAGCACGTCTGATCTCGTGGGATTCAGGTGGATTTGATGTCTGCCAACCTTCCCCAGGCCTTTCCAAGGATTGGGAATATTAAAGAACACACACCAAACCCAAAAAGCCACCGTACCTGCAGTGCACTAGGACGGGCTCGGCGTCCACTCTCAGGGACCTCACGTAGCTCACAAATTCCAGGAAGTCCGAGGAGTCGTCGGGCACGCCGTGGTCCGGCCATGCGACGTACTGGAGGTGTGTCACAGTGTGCTCTTCTCCGGTCTGAGGGGGACGCACCGGCCTCGGTCAGTCAGCCCCGAGGGTGGCAGGAAGACCCGGCCCCTCTCCGGCCTCCAGCCCGGGCACTTCTGTCTCCTGATGCTCTTTCTGCCCACCGTGCACAGCCCTGCAGGGGCCCTGCCAACTCCTGCCCACCCTCCTCACCTCCCCCCACCCCGCCTTCTAGGCTCACCTGCCCACCCCTCCTCCCCACACAGGAGTTCATTCCGTTTGTTCCTACAGCACTTGCTATTAAGGTCTCACACAGTAACTCTTTTTTTTTTGGTAATGGGCAAAATTTATATAACATGAACTTTACCATTATTAGCGGGCATTTCAGTGCTTTTAAGTGCATTTACAATGTTGTACAACCATCACCACTATTTACCCATTAAACATACACTCTTCATTCCCTCCTTTCCGCCCCCAGCCCTGGGAAGCCACCGTCCTCCTTCCTGTCTCTGTGAATCTGACTCCTCCGAGCACTTCACGTAAGTGGAACCAGACAGTATTTTTCCTTCAGCGTCGGGTTATTTCACTTAGAGTGTCCTCAAGATTCACCCATGTTGTAGCATGGGTCAGAACCCCCTTCCTTTTTAAGGCTAAACAATAGTCCATCGTACGACTATACCCCTTGTTTATCTGTCCAGCATCACAGCCATGGCTGTTTCCACCCGCTGGCTACGTGAACGGTGCTGCATGAACACGAGTTCTGGCTCTTTCACGGAAACGCTGACCAGGTGAAAATGGGGAGCCGGCCAAGAATAGCTCTCCCAGGCCCACGGTGGCTGCTGACTTAGACCTGCCTCTGACCTGCCTGCCCGGACCACCCACCGTCAGGGCGCAGCTCACCTCGGTGTTGGTGACCAGCATTTCCCGGAACACATAGGCGATAGTGCAGTCCTCTGATTGACAGCGGATGTGGAAGCTGCCATGCTCGGCGACATCGGGAGGATCGGGCCAGTACTGGTGACACTTGGTCTGCGAGGGAAGCGCGGGGTGTGAGTGACCCTCCACTGGAGGGTGCTGAGCATGAGCAGTTCCCTGGACGGATGGGCCGGGCACTCAACCAGAGCCCTCTCGCTACACCATGTACTCCTGGGCTGGGAGACAAGGCGCTCAGGCAGGCTGACCTGCTGTATCTGCTCTCTATGGAGAGTGCGATGGGGGTAGGCCTGCCGGGGGCCGGCCACAGCTCACAAACCAGTCTGGGCTGGAAGCCAGAGGATGAGTACAGAGATTTACCTTCTTTTCACCAGGGTCTGGAATGAACAGGAGGAGGCCTCAGACCTAGGGCCTTGACTTAGCTCTACCTCTCCACCCCTGCCTCCTCTACCTCAGTCAATCCCACTCCAGTCCCTCAAGCCCCTTCTCTGCTCTCAACACTCCCTCTCTACCTCAGCCCTCCTTCCCCACCCACCCCCACCCTCTCGAGGTAAAGGCTTCAAGGCACATTTGGGAGTCAGGACTCTCTGGGAGGCAGCCATATGACTGTGAACCTGCTACTCAACTGCTCTGATTTGCCTGTTCTTTACCCAGACGATGGGGACAGCACGCACTGCACGGACAGTGACAGAGGCTGGAGATACTAGTGCAGTGCCAGGCTCGCTACATGTGGGGAGCAGGTCAATGGAGCCCCTATGACCGTTGTCACTGTGGACCTGACTCCAACTTGTAAGGATGGTGAGAGAGTCCACACAGTCCAGATGAAAGACTTCCCTACACGTAAATGAACCCCCTCTGCACCCGAGCAGCAGCCCCCAGGCCTGCCCAGGCTTCCGTACGGGAGTCACATGGAGCTGAGACTCCCAGAGCACGGACGAGGAGACCCCAGGCTCAGGGGGATTGAGGTCTTAGAGATGGCTGACCTGACCCCATCACCCTTCCCGTTTTTATTTCCCCCCTCCAAACCCTGAAGCTTGTCCCACAGGTACCATACTCCTGCCCTGGCTTCAAAGCAAAACTCACGGCCAAGCTGTCCCTCTCATCATAGTTGTCAGTCAAATTCTGATTCACTCAGAAATGTTCTTTTTTCCTCTCCAAGCACACAGTAGCATCCAATATAAAAATTACATCTGTTTGCAGCTGAAAGAGGGTGTGCCAAGGGATGCACATCATTTGTCTGGAAGCAGCTTTTCTATTCTTGTTTTCAAATGCCACAGTTTGAACTTAATGCTTTGAAGTTAAAGCATGCTGCTGGGAAGAGAGAGCTGAGAATTTGCTTGTAAGCCTTACGCCTGGGTATCTGGCTAACAGCCACTGCCTGGCTTTGCTTGGACAGAAAGGGGCTGCAGTCCGTAGAACACGTGGCGGAGCCCACACCCACCAGCCTACATCTTCTCCTCTTCCGCAAGGGTGCGTGGAGCTCTGCCCGTAGGCCTGGTGGGAAGACAGCTTCTGAACTAACTCATCAGCCCATGCGAGGCCGAGCAGAGCCACAACATCTCTACTTCTAGAGGCTCCCAGTGAATCTGCCCTGAGCTGGCCTCTCTCTTCACCCCCTGATCCGATTTAGACCTGAGGTCTATTTGGATCTGAAAGCTTGGGGGGTGTGGTGGGAAGAGGAAGGAGTTTGTGGAAATCTTGAGTTTCAATCCTGGTAAGTCCCACTAACCAACTGTGTGATCGTGACCAAGTTACTCCAATCCTTCAGCTGCAGTTTCCTCATGAATGCTGCTGCTGGGGGCAGGGATGACCCTCAAGCTCCTAGTCTTTGAACAGAGTAAGCACTAAATGGTGCCTTTTAAAAATATATACATATATTTTTATTGATTTCAGAGAGAAAGGGAGAGAGAGGGAGAGAGAGAGAAACATCAATGAGAGAGAACCATTGATTGGCTGCCTCCTCCCGCCCCCTACTGGAGATCAAGCCCGAAACCTGGGCATGTGCCCTTGACTGGAATCGAACCCAGGACCCTTCGGTCCGAAGGCCAATACTCTCCACTGAACAAACCAGCTAGGGCAATGGTTGGCAAACTCATTGGTTAACAGAGCCAAATATCAACAGTACAACGATTAAAATTTTTTTTGAGAGCCAAATTTTTTAAACTTAAATTTCTTCTAACGCCACTTCTTCAAAATAGACTCGCCCAGGCTGTGGTATTTTGTGGAAGAACCACGCTCAAGGGGCCAAAGAGCCGCATGTGGCTTATGAGCCGCAGTTTGCGGGCCACAGAGCTAGGGCAAAAAATGGTGCTTTTTATGGGCATTATTTTACCTTGGTCTCAAAACCTATGAGGTAGGCACTATCATTGGCTCTATTTTGCATCTGAATAAACTGAAGCTCAGAGAGGGAATCAACTGGTGTCAGATGACACATATAGTGGGGTATACACAGATGTAAAAAATCCCCCCCCCCCCAAGAAATAACCTTGATGGAAGGAGAAATTACCTTTTCCATTGAAAAGCTGTACCTCTATAGCTCTATTCCCTTTATGAGGAAAGCATGAGCCGGAGGGGAGCACACAGAGAGGAACATTTGGGGTGGGAAAGAAAAAGGGAGAATTCAGAGATCCTGCAGGGAAGCGTTTCCCAGACCACCTGAGGCCTGCACAGTGTGACGGGGGACTCCAGGAAGTCCTTCTCTACTAATGCATAACCCGGAGAAAACACAGGGACACGTGTTTCCCCTGCAGTGACTGACTCCGGACTCCAGGAAGAGCCAGCTGCTGGGCGGTGGTGAGGACTGGAAGAGGGCGATGAGGCCCCAGGATGAAGGGCTCCCATCACCTGAGAGCTTGTAACAGGAGAGGGAGGGGACACGCAGCCTGGATGTTAGAAGAAAGGTTTCTAACAATTGATAAACAAGAGGGGCGAGTTCCCAGGGCCCGAGACTTTGAAGGGAACGCTGTGACTCAGGGGAGATGGGAATCTCTCACGCAGGAACCAACAGGAATGGGTTCAGTTAGGAAGAAAGGGCTGGGAAACAAAGAAACCGTGCTGGTCACCGACAATAGAGAGGAGGGGGGTGGAATCGGGACGGAGCAGGAGGGCGGGGGCCTGCGTGGCAGCCAGGGGAAGCGAGGCCTCTGGGCTGGGAGAAAGGATCTTTTCCACACTTTTCAGCTGGAACAAGCAGAACAAGGGAGAGAAGGGGATGCTATCAGAGCAGATCTCTCGCCAGCCATGCCCGCTGGAGCTCTCTTTTCTCTGCAGAGAAGAATGGCCTTACAGCCGGGAAGGGGAGGCCAACGTTAAAGGGGAAAGAGAAGGTCACCACAGGCGTGCTGGTGGCGCCCCGCATCCTGCCTGGCTCCGGTGTTGGTTCTGAGGAACTGCACCATGGACTGAGAGACCTTATGAGACAGAAGAGCGGAGCCTCTTGAGAACACCTGGAGCATCTGGGCACCCAGAAGTAACAGAATAGTCCGGCAAACAGAGCGTCGTTTCCAAATGGGGGGACTGGCGGATTTTGGAAAGGACAAGGCAATGAACTTGATCTACAAATATCAGAGTGGCCCCAGATGAGTGCCTGCAAAGTTTGGGATGCCTGCAGGTCAGTTAGGAGACCAGGTCTGTATTCAACAGCAGAGACCCACATGGTGGGATGGGTTTTGTTCATGGGTGCCATGGAGAGTCTCAATTTGGGTCCAGAATAGCTTTCACATTATTCCTCCCTGATACTTGAACTCTCTTTTTAAGAGGGAAGGAGGGGAGGAGGGGGAGATGCGGGTGTCTGAGGAAGCAAGCAAGCCTCAAGGTAGAGCTGAGACTTAAATTTAGGACACATGGCCCTACATCTGCCTTCTTGTCCACCACACCATAAGTGCTCCAAAAAACAAACAAACAGACAAACAAAATGTCCCTGTAACACCCCAGCTGGTTTGGCTCAATAGGTAGAGTATCGGCCTACAGACTGAAGGGTCCCGGGTTTGATTCTGGCCAAGGACACAAGCCTGGGTTGGGGGTTCGATCCCCAGTAGGGGCTGCCCAGGGGGCAGCTAATCAACGATGATAATTCTCATCACTGAGGTTTCTCTTGCTCTCTTCCTCTCTATAATCAATAAAATATATATTTTTAAAATGTACCTGTAACTTCATTTTCTATTCAAAACAAGATTAAAAGAATCACAAAACAAACAAAACCAAAACATAAGCAAAAATTAAAAATATAAAAAACACACGAGACTTTTAGACAAGGGGATGCCACAGACCTGCTTCCTTGTGCTCTCAGCAAAGCCTCAGACAGGCCATCCCTCAGTAGAGAGAGGGAGAAATGGCAGGGGCTGGGGACAGAGCTGGGAGAATTAATAACTGCTCCCCAAAGAGTGCCCTCAATGCCTCTGACATACAGGCTTCCACAGCCTCTTAAAGACCTTCCCATTTTTTAAAACAGTGACTTATGTGAAGAGAAGAGATTTTGATGAAAACTGTGACAAGCAGCGGAGAGTGATAGCCAACACAAAGAATGAGAAAAGCCCCAAGGAGCACTGTGAAGGCCAGAACTGATGGCTGAGTCCTACCAGCAATGATGCTGATGATAATGATCTCACACACACCACACACACACACACACACACACACACACACACACACACACACAAACACACCAACGCCTTAACATTTGTTGGACATGTGCAACATATAGTTCTCTAAGCTTCTCGTACATATTGTCTCCGTCTTCATCCACCCTCCAAGGGGAGCACCATTATCTCCATTTCCTACAGGGACAGCTGAGGTTCAGAGAGGATAGGCACTTGCTCAAGAGGAACCTTTTTTGGGCCCAGTCTGTGTGGCTCCAGAGCCTCTCCAGAGTGCTGTACATAGCTTTCAAGGGCTCGAGACAAAGACCAGACCATGTCCACTGACCACACGCTTGGTGGGAGCTCAGCGGGAATTTCCATCTGGCAAAAGAGTTTCATGGCATTAGAATCTGTTACTGCCACTGGGCAGACAGGAAACTGGATCTTAAACTCTTCTAGTTGACAACTGACATCACTCCAGAATAATGTCTCTATCAACTTATGGCCAGTAAAAAAGATTTTCAGAAAGCTATTGTTAAGGAGGAATTTTTAAAATATCAGAGCTGAACACCCACTGATGGACCCTGGAGGGTCTTGGCAGAGGTGGAGAGTGCTCTGCCCGGAACACCGCACGTAGAAGCCATTTGCGATCTAGGGGGCTCTATCAATCCTTATTTTGCTGTTTCAGGTGAGAGGGTAGGCCGGTCTCCTCAAACATACGACCCAACCCAATCCTGTGTCCTGACTTCCAGCATGGACCAATCTGGCATTCTGAACTCTGCAGCGAGGAAAGGCCTGGGAGGAAGTGGCACAGATCCATTCAAAGCAGGTGGCTCAAAATTAATTTAGATTTGATTTTGGAATGTGCTCCCGAATAAACGTTTCATAAGGAAGCTATCCAGATGTAGGCACAAGCTCCAGCATTCACGATACAGTGTCCCTTGCATGCTGATTTCTGTTATATAATCAGAGATCAGTTCCCATGGAAAACGTACGCCCTGCTAAGCACAGTACTGTGTCCATCACTCTGCCAATTAAGCCCTTCTTCGTACCTGCTTTTGCAAGGGGTTTTGCTGCCACACAAGCAGAGGCTGGTAGAGGCTGTCATTTCTCCTACGTTTTACCTCCACTGTGAACCTGGCACCAACCCTGCTCTCCTGAGGACCAGCACTTGTCCTGGGTGGGTGAGGCTGGTGCAGGGGTTCTGGGCAGGTGCGGTGAAACACGGGGCAGGGCCTCTGGCTTGTAATAATGGATCTGAGCTAAGAGTGGGAGGGTCGTCCTGTCATTCTTTAGCTTGGAGGAGGCCAGGGTGTGGGCAGCAGGAGGGCTGAGCTTGCCATCAGTCCATCAGTAGCTCCTTACAGAAGCTTTATGAGTCACGTAGGGGCTACATGGGGCCACATTTAAGACCCTTTTCACTCTGAGGCTCGTGTTCCACAGAACACAGCGTGACGCACACACATCTGAATTGGAAATCAAGCCACTTACCCGCCCTCGCTCTGTGAGAGTCGTCAACATGACGATGAGTGATAACTTCTGATCCCAGACGACTTGCCAGAACTGTGCGCAGGTATGTGGCAGGGGTCCCTGAGCGGCAATGTACTTGTTCACAAGGTTAGCAGCGGGAATTTCCATCTGGTAAAAGAGTTTCATGGCATTAGAATCTGTTACTGCCACCGGGCAGACAGGAAACTGGATCTTAAAACTCTTCTCGTTGACAACTGACATCACACCAGAATAATGTCTCTATCAACTTATGAAACATTTTCAGAAAGCTATTGTTAAAATTCCTTGAAAGGTATTTGACAAAGGTGCTAGCATACAATATTTAAGACACAACTGTGATACTCGGCAGGCGATCATTAGAAATGTACCCACGAGATGGTGGGAGAGTTTAAATGACCTTCCCTGCTGTATCGTAAATATAATCAATATTCGGCATCTGCATCTGCAGGGACACCTATTAATCCTCAATTTATTTATTTATTTATTTATCTATTTATTATCTTTAAAATATATTTTATTGATTTTTTACAGAGAGGAAGGGAGAGGGATAGAGAGCTAGAAACGTCGATGAGAGAGAAACATCGACCAGCTGCCTCCTGCACACCCCCTACTGGGGATGTGCCCGCAACCAAGGTACATGCCCTTGACCGGAATCGAACCTGGGACCTTTCAGTCCGCAGGCCGACGCTCTATCCACTGAGTCAAACCAGTTTAGGCAATCCTCAATTTTTTTAGATTGACGGTTGCCGGGTGGGAGGGAGGTTGGGAGAAAAAGGCGAAGGGATTGAGAAGTACAGACTGGCATTATAGAATAGTCACAGGGATGTACAGTACAGCACAGGGAACATAGTCAATAATACTGTAATAACTATAGATGGTGCCAGGTGGGTATTGGAAATACTGGGGGAGAGGGGGTCCCCTCAGCCCAGCCTGTGTCCTCTCACAGTCTGGGAGACCTTAGGGGATAGCTGACTGCCGCGGATGTGGGAGAGGCCCCTGCCACTGCGCTCGCCAGCCATGAGCCTGGCTTCTGGCAGAGCAGTGCTCCCCCATGTGGAAGCGCATTGACCACCGATGGTCAGTGCACATCATAGCAACTGGTCGTCCCACCCACCGTCTGGTCGATTTATTATATAGGATGGTTGCAGTTTAAATGGTTGTGTAAGTACCTAAGTAATATCCTCATTTTGCCTCTTGACTTGCAAAGGCCAAAATACTGACTCTCTGGCCCTTGACAGAAAAGATGTGCTGACTCTTGGTTTAGATGAAGAAACGGACGGACATTCAGAGAGGTTAACTAAGTTGCCCGAGATGTATTGTCAGAGTAAAATGACTGCTTTGCTCACAACATGTGAAATCTTCTACCTTTTCTTTTTGGGTTATATGCACAGAGGTGTTTTTATTTTTATTTTAGATGACAGTATATACAGCAATAACAGGGGGGAAAACACAAAGTTACTATCCTAGCATTGGCAAAAAACAAACAAAAAAACCCTCAACAATACAAACCCTTGCCCCAAACCCAAAACGCCTAGATGCCTGCAACTGAGGACAAGAAGGCACGTGGACCCTGGAGTCAGAGACACAGAATCTAAGTTTTGGTCTCACCTTCGGTTAGCCTCGCGGCTTGCAGATTATTTAATCTCTCTGAACCTTAGTTTCCTCCTCTGCAAAATGAGACTGTTCTGCTTTCCCTTCGGGCAGCTGTGCTGAACTAAGGGAGTGAAGAGGAAAGCACTTCCTCAAATGCAAAGCACTAGCCGTGATCCTGCTCCTGACAGGGGTTAACGTGTTCCGATCACCCGGTTTCCCGACTTACGTTCACGTGGCTCGCGTTAATGTAATCTTCGTTTCCCTGCAGTAACACTCGGGTGGTGTCATCTGCGGGGGGGAAGAAGAGGCATTTACCGATCATCCTAGGCCTTATTTTGATCTTTCTCAGCACACAAGGGTTCAGTTCCCAGCCCCATCTGCAGCCCTCGCCGCATTAGCATAAACACTATTCCCCAACTGTTCCCAGGCCGAGATGCCTGCAATAAAGACGGTGGTGTTTATAGACACACTGGAAGTCGGTCCAGAATACCAGACAATCTGTTTCAGGAAGGGAAACATTATCTCAGTGTGTGTGTGTGGGGGGGGGGGGGGGAGGGGGGAAGGAAGGGGGGGGGGGGGGGGGGGGGCAGTCGTGTCAGAAACTCACAAGGCAACACGTCTTTGTATCGGTTTTTGTCCAAATTTTGAGGCAGCTTTGCAAAGGTGATGGCCAGCCCAGGTTTCTTTCTGTAGAGTTGCTATATAACAAACAGAGAAGTAAAAAGCTGTTGTAAAAATAAAACAAAAAAACCCAGCAATCAAAGGAGTGTGAAAACATTCTTGAACAGTAAAAGTTTATCGTTCAGGGTGCCAAAATCTTACCATTTAAAAGTGATTGTGTGTTACATCTTAAAAGAAAATGTTCCAATAAGAAATTCTATGATCTGATAAGAAGTATTCTTCAATTAAAAAAAAACAAAACGAGAATGAGGACTTAATGGGGAGCGGGGGGTAGGGGTGGGGATAGGAGAGGCCCGGCGGAGGGAAAAGTCATGTCTGTCTGAGTCACAGATAATGATCACAGTAGTAAGTAAAACCTTTATGATCCAACATCAACAAATCAACAAACGACAAGTGTTGGCCAGGTTGCGGAGAAAAAGGAACCCTCGTGCACTGCTGGTGGGAATGCAGACTGGTGCAACCACTGAGGAGAACAGTATGGAGTTTCCTCAAAAAACTGAAAATGGAACTCCCATTTGACTCAGTAATCCCACTCGTAGGAATATATCCCAAGAAACCAGAAACACCAATCAGAAAGGATATATGCACCCCTATGTTCATAGCAGCACAATCTACAATAGCTAGAATTTGGAAACAGCTTAGGTACCTGTCAGCAGATGATTGGATCAAAAAACTATGGTACATCTACACAATGGAATACTATGCTGCCATAAAAAAGAAGGAATTATCATCATTTGCAACAACCTGGATGGAATTGGAGAACATCATGCTGAGTGAAATAAGCCAGTCAATGAAAGAGAATCACCACATGACCTCACTCATTTATGGATAATAAAGAACATTATAAACTGATGAACCAAAAGTTAGATATAGAGACAGTAAAGCAACAAGCAGACTGTCAAACTACAGCGGGGAGGGGAGGGAGATCTGGGGGAGATAATAGATCAACCGAAGGACTTGTATACATGCATATAAGTACAACCAATGGACACAAAACTCTGGGGAGGGAGGGTATGAATGGGAGGGGGGGATGGTAAGATATGTACACAGATAATAATTTAATAAAAAAAATAAACCTTTATGACAATAATTTGACAAATGCCAAAAGCAGGTAGAGAAAAAAAAATCCAGCTTGAAATGAAATGAAAATAATTTACATGAGTCTAAAAACATTTCCCTCCAATTCAGTGGAGTAAACCATATGTTTTGCTTGAAAACAAGAACATTTCACTCATCATTCCACAGGTCTATTTCCATAGTAAAAACATTTATTGCCTCGAGAAAATCAAAACATTTATTCCCACACATAGTAAACTTCATATGAAGAGGTATTCCCCTGTGCACGTAATCACCAGCAAAAAAACCAATTGACACAGTCTTTGCATATCTGCAAGCACACATCAGACACCTGGGCACAGCACCTGAAGTGATTCTGTCGACAGCTCTGTGAGAGGTATTAACCGTATCCTTCATTTGCAAGCGAAGAGGCGGAGATTAAATGCTTAGATCATGTACCACACACTGAACTCAGATGTGACTTCAGTGCTTGAGTTTTATTTTTTCCTTGAAACCACTTTATTGAGGTCTGGCTGACATGTAAAAAGCGGTCCATATTTACTCTATACAACGCAGTGAGTTTGGGGGTAAGTACGCAAGAGTGAACTGCCACCATCAAGGCCAAGGACAGTCCTTCCCTGCCAGAAGTTCCCTCCTGCCTCCCTCCCCTCTTCCCCCAGCTTTCTTTTCTACACAACTGTTTCTCTCATTTTGAACCTGAAAGTGAAACATTATTCACTAGTGGTTTTTATGAACTTTATGGGAGTTTTAAAACAACACAGTTTTTCAATGTTGGACCTTTTTTTTTTTTCCCAGAAAATTTGGGAAATTCTGACTTGTATTAAAAAGAAAATTACCAGTAACTTGACAACTCTGAGACAACCTTTTTCATATATGTTCTCCAGTTTATATTTTTGTGTGCACCTGGACACAAATATACATAAGCATATCAGTAAACACATAACACATAGGTTTTGTAAAACAAAAAACGGAGGTTGAATTACATGCCATCATGCTCCATACTGTGTTCTAGGAGACCACGTGTTCTGAAAGAAGCAAATTGGCACTCCATCGGAAAAGTTTCAGGGTCACATAGACTTGAGAAATACTACAAACCACCTTCTGTTCTATGATTCTCCAAGAAGACAAGCCCTGTAGTGCGTAAGCTAGCTTGTTTAATTGTGATTAGCTAAGCATTTCTCAAGCTAATTTGGCCATGGAGAATCTCACATCTCTTTTTTCCCCCCTACTTATTACATAGTGTGTAGTTTTTTGTGTCATTAAATATTCTAAGTATTCTCTATACTTATGGTTTTTACTGTCTCAATATCCATAGTTTCTATAATTTATTTCAACTTTTACTCAACTTTTGACTAGGCTGTTTTTAATTTTTCACTCATAAATTTTTAGGAACAGAATTACTGCATCAAAACATATTTTGAAGAACTTTGATACATATAACCACGTTGCCTGCCCTCAGGGGTGCGTGAAAATGCTTTGTTCAACAAACTGTGGCTGATATCATCAGCTAGAATGTGTCTGCAATTTGAATAGGAAGGCCGAATGTTATTTTGCCCTTATGTTTTTGCAAATTTTATTTGTTGGTTTTTCTCTTATTAGCGCTCTCTCTCTCTTTTTTAAATGAAACAAACAAGTTGTACAGAAATCACCAGGAGAGAATTAGCATAGAGATCTCGGGTAATGACAATTATACATTTACTAAATGTTTAGAATTCCAATCTCTCCCCGTGCTCAGCTACTAATCGCCTTTTTAATTTTAATTCATAATAATCAACTAGCCATTGGACAATTTCTTCAGTATCTGCAATCTGTAATGAACCTCTGAGCTCATTCTAGAAATATTCATGGTTTATTGGTGGTTTTGGTTTGTTTCTGAAAGGAGAATATCTGAATCAGTCAGATTCCTCTAAACTGCACAGAAGTGAAATCTAATTAAGCAAATATAATCAGTAAACCTAACCTGGAGGTAAAAAGAATTTCTTTTCAAATAACAAAATGTAAATGTAATCAACTTGAGATGGTCTGGCAGAAAAAAGACCTAGCAAAAAGCTTTAATTATAGTAAGTATATAAGTATCTCAGCAGTATAATGATCTTTTGATGAGTTTATAGAATACTAAAAATAAAAAATAAAGCACTATCGCAGTGTTTAAAAATCTTTTACATGTGCATACCCTGGGCTAGTAGAAATGCATGGTACAGTCATACCACAAAATTATATGCAAGTAATAAAAAAAAAATTAGACTAAAAACACACATTTGGAAAGATCTCCATTTGTCTATTTTTAAGTGAAAAATGCAAGTTACAGAATAATGTATATATATATATATATATATGTATATATATATGTAATAGTGACTCCATAGTGGCATATAGTATGTGTGTGTGTGTACTTATGCACACACATGTGTAAAAATTATATTTGCATGAGCATTGGAATAAATATGGATGGATACTCACAAAACTATTTGTAAATTATAACAAAGAGAAAGAACCTAGAGAGTGTGTGGTTAGGAGACTATTAATTTTACTGTGGCTATTTCTGAGTTACTTGAATTATGACAAGGGAAGGGCTCATGCTGGAGTTGGGTGCAGGACTGGGTCCCACCCGACGATGCTGAGTTTTGACAATGGATTAGACTTTTAACAGATTCTAACCCTAGATCTCTTTCAGTGTGACACTGGGCAGGTCCTTTCGCCCCTGAGCCTCATTTCCTCTATCCATAAAGGAGAGACCCTAATCATTCTGTCCAGATCTATTTCACAGAACTGTTGTACAGACATTGGAGTGTGTAAACCACCTTCAGCAGATTCCAATGTGCTATAGAAATGCTAATTATTAACTTTGATTTTGTTACAGCTGGGACCAAATGCTTTCTGGAACACATTTGTCATTGTTCATCGAAAGCCACGGGAAGGACAGGGGAATTCCCTTCACGGAAATATACTTCAGAGGGAGCTGGGCTGAAACCAGCTCATCACCATGGGAGGAATTTGGCCATGGCCCATCTACTGCAGGGCAGGCCCTTTATGTGGTGGAGTGGGTGGGGTGGGCATCTGCTAGGTCCCAGCCATAGCCTCCTGTGCTGGTCCAGGGCACAGCCCCCGTCGGCCACGTCGCCCACCTGCTGATAGCATTAGACAGGAATATGGAGAGCCAGAAATGCCAGGACTATGGAGTCAGAGAGCCCTGGGGTCCAACTCTAAGGTGACATGACCACTTTTTGTGTGATCATAGGGCATGTTCTTTAGACTCTTGGAGCCTCTATCCTATATAATAAAAGGGCAATATGCAAATTGACCAAACTGTGGAATGACTGGTCACTATGACATGCACTGACCACCAGGGGGCAGACGCTCAATGCAGGAGCTGCCCCCTGGTGGTCAGTGTGCTCCCACAGGGGATTGTGGCTCAGCCAGAAGCTGGGCTCACAGCTGGTGAGTGCAGTGGTGGTGGCAGGAGCCTCTCCTGCCTTCGCAGGGCTAAGGATGTCCGATTGATGGCTTAGGCCCACTCCCCACAGCAGGCCTAAACAGTCAGTCAGACATCCCCTGAGGGCTCCTGGACTAAGAGAGGGTGCAAATTGGGCTGAGGGACAACCTCTCCTCGAGTGCACAAATTTCATGCACCTAGCCTTTAGTTTATAAATAATGATAGTTGTTACTTTTTATTGCGCTCTTACCGTGTGCCAGACAATGCATTAAGTATTTATTCCGTCTGACCCTTAAAATTAACCCAGGAGACACCCAGTTGGGGAAGCAGAGGCCACAGAGATTAAGGGACATGCCAAGATTACGTAGGAAGAGCCAGGATTTAAAATCTGCTTGGCTCCAGGTGGCTAGATGTCTTCTCAGATCTTTTCTAGCTCTAATTTGTACTAATCTAATAATAACTCGCATGTAAATACATTCTGTTGTTCCCAAAGATTGGACAGTTAATAAGAGAGCAAGCTCTTGAACTAGCCTGAATGGGTTCCCATCGCCTGTGGGATAACCTCCCCCAGACTCTGACCTTTCATCTATACAATGGGCTGCTGTGAGAATTCAGTGGAATGATGCACATAAGGTTCTTAGCACAAGGTAAGTGCTCGTGAAAGTTTTCCCTGTCTTCGTTTCTGGTTTGATCTGGCTTCCTTTAAAAATCTTCTCTAGCAAGACCTCTTTCCCCCATCTACAATAGTGGTCCTTAAATTACGTTTCACAGTCTAGGGTCCCTTGGGACAAAATGGGGAGATGGAGGCAGGGCTGCACCACGGAGCTGCTCTGCTGTTATCTGTTTTGTATTCTGGAATTCGGCAAATGTTATTGAAAAAGAGGGTTTCCCTACTTCATTTCTAGGAAACACATAAACTAAATGGAGGAAATGGAAATGAGAGACTAAAATTTAAAACCTAAAATTTCTATGCTGTCTATTTCTTAGGTTCTAGTCTAACTATAGGCTTTAAAGTAAGGCTTGGGATGGGCAGCAGTGGGACAATGGTTCTGGTACAATCTTTATTCCAACCCCTTCCTCCATCATCCCCTGGATCCACATGGACATTAAAACCTCCAGGTGATCTGGTTAAGAGTATCAGCACCTAGGCCCATCCCACTATGGCTGACCCAGGAGCTGTGGCTGGGCCCAGTGTAATAAGCTCTTTGGGTAATATCCATTCAGATGTTCAGAGTGTCAAACTTTGAGAAGCACTACTCAAAAACACGGGGGATGGGAGGGTACTTCTCTCCAAAGCATTTTATATATATATATATATATATATATATATATATATATATATATATAATGTATATATTAAAAATAATATATATACTATTGATTTTGTACAGAGAGGAAGGGAGAGAGATAGAGAGTTAGAAACATCGATGAGAGAGAGTCATCGATCAGCTGCCTCTTGCACACCCCCTACTGGGGATATGCCCGCAACCAAGGTACATGCCCTTGACCGGAATCGATCCCAGGATCCTTCAGTCCCCAAGCCGACGCTCTATCCATTGAGCCAAACCGGTCTCAGCACTCTCCAAAGCATTTTTAAACTGTTAATGATGCTCAGGGAATGTTGGTTAAGAAAAACCTTATGTGGGATTCCCATACATAGAACATACAAGCGGAGGGGGCCCCCCTCCCTTCCCCCGCATTGGAGTGGATTCTACGGGAGCACGGGTTAAGACCAACTGTGGTCTTCTTCCTCATTGAGAGCCCACAGCGCCTCCTTGTGGACAGTGTGATAAAAGACAAACAGTTCCCTCTGGGCTGAAGGACCTCAATCACCTGGAGACATCCCCAAGGCGTCCTTGCTGCAGTTCTCAACCCAGGAATCCCTGTTTCCCTTTGCTATCTGACACCTAGCAGCTTAGTCTGCATGTAGCTCCGGATCTTCCTGGCATATTCTAACCCCCTCCACACTTAATCCAGCCATCCTCTATTAACACGACATCTCACGCCAGAGGACCTCCGGTAATCCCCTCGCCTCCCGTTTCTACACAACACACATTCTGTGCAATGACATCTTGCCCTGGATTGGCCTTTCGCTGTTTCTGGGATTCATGAGACATCCATGCAAATACACCAACATTAGACTGTACACTTCTTGGGGCCAGAACCCCACCTTCTCCCTCCTACGTGTGCTCCTGATTCAGTATTTGAAACACGGCCACACCCGATCTACACCCCCTGAGTGAACGGGTGACTGCACAGAGCCTTTTACATCCCCTCCATCACCAAAAAAGGAATACAACCAACACACTCCGTATTTGGCTTTTAAGTTCTTGTTTCAAGGCTTTTGGAGAATGTTTAAAAATATGCAGTTCTAGGGTTTAGAAGGTACATTTCAATCCTGAGCTTTTTTGCAAAGCAAGGCCAGGAAACACAACCTCTGCATTTTCTTCTTTTAAAATCCTAAGCCTACACAGCCTCCTGCAGGCCAGTGGGAGGAGGACTTGCTCCCTCTGTAGATATTCAGACTACATCTATCCAGTTCTACCCACGTAATTACATTATTCCTACTCTTTCTTCCTGATCTCATTTCCACAGATACAAACTCACTTTTTGTCTATATTGTCTGTCATGACTTAAGTTTAAAATTCCCTATTGATTTTTTTTTTGGGGGGGGGGCAGGGTGAGGTTAATTATCTTCACCTTTAACCTGTGGGTTTTTACTTTGTATTGTGGTTTCACACACTCTGCTCTAATAATGTGTTTTACTTACCTCCTATTCCTTACACCATAAACCTCTTCTCACTCCAGACTCTAAGCCTTGCGTTCCTTTTTGTTCCATAGCCACACCTCTCCTGCTTCCCTGAATCAATGTGCCATCACATACATCTGACAAGCTGCCTGGTTTTCCTTCCGTGACTCTCTTTTATACAAATCAACAAGGAGCTGCCGAATTCTGCTTTCAAATTCAACCGGAGGCTGTCTTTCGTGATTTATGAATCCAAACAGGGTGTGTTGGCGTTAATCATGATCGATTTTCTTTTATGGACCTGCTTAATGCTTCTTTGTGCTCTCTGTTATCTTTTATTGCATGAAATACTCGCCTTTCTTCTACCTCGAGAAACATTTGGACGATACACACAGTCTGTTTTCATCCTGTTAGCAAGCAGATCAGTGAAACTGGCTCAGGAACCGAGGCTTCTTTGGTCCTACTTGGCTTTGTAAAGTCTGTGTGCGCTTCCTGTCAACAGCTTCTACCCTGTGATTAGCGGTCCCTCCCGGAGAAGGACGAGGGCGTCTGACTTTGGTTACCACTCGTGTTCACATGTTCACAGGGCCCTGTGCTCGGATGGGATGACACTAACTGCTCCATAGGATGCCCGGTAGGGCTAGGGGATGGGCTCCTCCATCATGCTTTGGGGGCTCACCCACTCTGCCGTGCCACTACCTTCTACTGCTGAGTGTTTGGAGCCTTTGTGTTGGCAGCTAAATAGCTCAGAATCCCTCCTCCTCGATGTCTGACGTGTTTCTCCATGACTACCAGACATGCTAGCATAAGAGGGTGAGGCAGAGTTCAGTGACGAGCTGTGGGCCCCATCCCCCGCTCTCTGGGCCCGATCCCCTGCCCAGGGCTCGAAGCCCATTCTGTGCTTGGCGACGAGCATGGGCCCCCAAGGTCTTGGCTGACTCGGCAGCACCTTAGCAGCCCACCAAGGCCCCGGGGTCCAGGTCGTGGGTGGGCCCTCGGTTCTCCTACCTCGAACTGGATCAGCACCGTCCCACTTTCAAGGCCCTTCTTCAGCTGTTCCATGGAGCCCTCCAAGGTGTCGGCACCCTCCGGACACTCAGGGAAAATGGCCTCCGGGAAGAGCTGGTTCAGTTCATCTTCAGATTTGATATCCACCAAGGAGTGGACAGCTGCAGGGGACGAGAAAGGGTGCGTCTGGCTGTGGGCAAAGCTCTGGGGATCCGTTTCCTCCCCCCAAATTTCCCTTAAGACACCTGGATGCAGATGACTTAAAACATCTCATCCAATGATTACACACACAGTTATTTTCACCAAAGATACTACTTCTTGTCGAATGATTATACGTGTTGATTACACAAAACGACATGCTATTGCGGTTCGTTTATGATGGTGTTTAGTACTCAGAGGCTTTTGACAAAAGTAAAAGCAAGGGAAAGGATGCTTTCATAGAAAACGTATCTTCTCTCTCTGCTCTCTCTGACCTGGTTCTCATACCCATCCCTCACCTCTTCTTGGTTCCTTTTCCTTTGCTCCCTTAAAACAGGCACTTTCCCAGGCCCCGGTGTGAGGTCTGGCATGCTATCCCCATGGCACCATCATCCCACACAACTCAGCCAACCTAACTGATGGCCATTTGTAGGTGGGAGGCTCCCGCGTACACATCTCAAGTCCTAACATCTCTATGGCACTTCCTGCCTCCCTCGTCCATTCGAATCCGCCCTGCATGGCAGGCTCCATATGAATAAAAATAATCTCGGCCCCCACTGGCCCACGGGCACAGTACTTCCCCAGCCTCACGTGCCTCTTTCCACCGACTGCCACCTCTTTCTCCAGTCTCCCACGTGGGGAACGTCAGCCTCATCTCTGGTTTTTCTCTTTCTACTCAGAAGGGGATGCTACTCCCTCACTCAAAAGCCTTCACTGGCTCCCTCCTGCCCTCAAGATAACAGGAAAGACAAGGAGAGTAACAACTTGCACTTTTCTTCACAGACTTGGACTGGATCCTCATAATGCTGAGCACGAGTCACTATTCCCATTACACAGATGAGGACACTGACTCGCAGGGCAAGTAAGTTGTCCAGCGTTGTCAGGGCGAGGCACAGGGATTTGGTCCGTGTCTGTCTGACCCCGAAGACCACATTTTTTTCTCTGATCAGAGAAACGCGGCTCTTCTACTGCTTTCGTGACTTGTCATATCAGCTATTCCTTAGGCTGGTTTCTTATTTCTCTTTTAATCAACTCCTATGTTTTTATTTAAAAACTAAACTTATCGTGACTGTTGTAGGAAAGCAGTGGCGCTGCCCTTGTGGTTGTAACAGCCTATGGACATCCGTTCCTCACCTCACACGGGCCAGCGTGCTGTCCCGCTGGCTGCAGCTGAGGGCAGCACCCACGGACGTACGGTGTAGCCAAGGGCCTGCTCCCCATCGCTGGCTCCTTGGTGCCCTATTATCTTGCAGCCACACCAGCCACACTACAGCAGGGCAAGTTACTTCACCTCTCTGTGACTCGGTTTCCCCATTTCCTCACTTGCAGATAATACTAACATTATAAGAACCGAAGAGGATAATTATTTAAAGCCATCAGCACAGTGTAAGGCACTTCTCTGGCGCTCCACAGACATCAGCTGCTACCACAACTGAATACCTACTGTGCGCAGAGCAGGGTGCTGGGATTTGGTGGGGCAGGATGGGGTGGAAGAGGGTAGGTATGAATCCAGAGGGTCTGATAAGGCCTCACGAGAAGAAGGGAGGAGAGCTGACACCGTACAGAGGGCTGGAAGTTTCAGTGGGAACAGAGAGAAGCAGGTGTGTGTGTGGGGCTGGGAGGAGGGGCCGGTGTAGGGAGGGAGCAGCTGTGACATTCACCCTATAAGACCAGAACAGAGATGAGCGCTGCAGGGCCAGGGCTCTGAGTCATACACTGTGCTTTCCTTCAGTGTTTCAAAGCCAGGCCGAAGCAGTCAAGGACTTGGCTTATTGTTCTGTAGCAACAACACCAGGAACAGGGATGGTGCTCACAGAAGCCGTCCTGCCGACGCCCACCATGCGGGCGGCATGCTAGGCGCTTTCCAGTACAAGTGCCATTCAGTCTCCACGAGGACCCCGAGGCAGGGGCTGTTCTTATTGTCCTTGTGTTACGTTGGGGCAAGTAGCTCGCTCAAGGCCCCTCGGCAGTAGGAGGCAGCTGAAGGAGGCAGCTGGAAGAGGCGGAGTGAGAACCACTCGAAGGCAAACCAAATGCACAGGAATAACATATAACCCGATCCTTCCAGAAAGGGCTGGGATGCAAACGCCTGCAGGGCCAGGCAGCTAAGAGAGGAGTGTGCTGTGGGCTCCTTGGGCCTGGGAGGACTGGGGGGGGTCACGCCCCGCATAAAGGGGGTGCCATCTCCGGAGGACTGGCCAGAGGGGCCAGGCGTCTGTGGTTAGACCTCCAAATTTCTCAAGTGAGAAATCACACATCCCGGTTGTGATAGGAAAGTTCCTGATTTTTGTTGGCCACAAAGCTCAACATTTTCAAAACCACGGAAGGGCCAGGCCAGGCCCCGCCTGGCGCGGGCGGCGTCCCTGGGCTGCTCCCCGCAGGAAGGCGGCCGTTACCTTTCCTCCGGATGACCAGGGCCAGCTCCCGCGTGTGGGACTCCCGGCTGGCTTTGATGAACATCACCACCTGGTCGTGGGTGTGCTCTGAGATGTCCCGGCCGTTGATTAACACGATTTGATCCCCTTCGTTCAGCTTCGGAATGCAGGTGTCCGCCTGTGGGGAGGGAGGGCGCGTTTCTCCGGTTACCATGGCACAGACCTCAAGGGAAGGCCGCCGCCCGCCCGGGGCCCGGACACCTGAGCCCGTGATCAAGTTCTCCCTCCCTCCCTCCAGGATTAGCGTCATTATTTTTACATCCACGGCGATGATGACATGGCAGCTGGCGGGGGCAGTCTGACAACGCGCTGCTCAGAAGTCAAGTTATGAAACATTCCAGAATCAGGCTGAGACAGTCACAGAGCCACCTTCCCCGATTAATGCAACGCAACGGCTATGACGCTTCTGACCGTCCATTTTCTAGCTGGGCTGTCTGAAAACGGTTTGTCAGCTGAAAGTGAGTTTTCACTCGTCGTGCAATGGGGGGGAGACTATGTAAGTGTAACACCCAGGGCAGAAGCCATCGCGGAGAGAAGCAAGGCAGCGACCGAAGGAAAATAAAAGCCTTCGTCCCTGACAGGGGCCACAAGCAGTAAGAAAAAAAACTAAGTCGCCAGCTTACAGGCCCCTTCAGAGTCAAGTCCCCATCCCCGTGCCTCCTTAGGAGGTGTGAGGACTCTGGTGCTCACTGCTTTACAAAAGCACATGATCTGGCCCGGCTGGTGTGGCCCAGTGGTTGAGCGTTGACCCATGAACCAGGAGGTCATGGTTCAGTATCCAGTCAGGGCACATGCCCAGGTTGCAGGCTCAATCCCCAGTGGGGTGTGCAGAAGACAGCCCATTAGAGATTCTCTTTCACTCCCTCTACCTTCTTCTCTGAGCACATGAGCTGCTGAGAAGGCTTAGACTGAGGGCTGAGGACAGGGTGATGAAAGGGGCGCAGGTCCCATGTGCCCCCTCAGAGTGAGCAGACCAGCAAACTGTGCCTCAGTTTCCTCCTCTTGAGCAGCACTTCTCAATTTCAGTGTGCACACCCATCACCTGGAGAGCTTGTTAAAAATGCAGACGCTACCCAGCCGGTGTGGCTCAGTGATGGAGCGTCAACCTATGAACCAGGAGGTCATGGTTTGATTCCCAATCAGAGCCCATACCCGGGTTGTGGGCTCAATCCCCACTGTGAAGTACACAGGAGGCAGATTCTCTCTCATCATTGATGTTTCTTTTTTTTCTCTTCCTCTTTAAAGTCAAAGAATTCTGTTAGATTTTGGGGAAAACAAAGGAATATGTTTACTTACAGGCGACTCTGGGTTTATCCTCGACACCACAAGAGGCATCTTTTGATCCACTCCTCCCTGTAAATATGTGAAATAAATAACAAAACAGCCGCGTGAGCAATTCACAGCAACCAAGACACGTAGCTCTCTCTGGCACCGGGAAGGGGGCCGGCCTTACGTGATCCTGTTCTTAATCCAGGGACCAAGCCCTTTCTGAATCGCAGGTTCCTGAGCCCTCTGGGTACTTAACCAGAGGACGGCTCAGAAGCTCCCACTGCCACCCCCACGTTCCGTGAACTTCAGGTGCACTCGGAGGAAGAGAGCTCCTTTCAAAACATGCAAATAGCTCCAGGAGGAGGACTCCAAAAACACGGCCTCTCAGAGCTGCTGTACAGGGGGTTTCAGTGGAGGAGATGGAGCCACAGACAAGGCCACATGCCACAGGTCCAACAGCAGGGCTGGGTAACTTCTGCAGAGGACCCGAGAGCACTGCACACGTTAGGCTTTGTGGGACAGAAGGCTCTGTCGTGAAACCTCAACTCTGTCACCGCAGTGCCCGCTGTAAATGAATGCAGTGGCTGTGTTCCAATAAAACTTTATTTGCAAAAACTGGTGTGTTTTGGTCCCTAGGCCATAGTTTGCAGACCCTGCCTGGAGGCAGGCACAGGAGGGTAGTGGCCCTGCAAATGGACCTTCCCTTGAACATAGTTCTCTTATTGGCTTAGCAATGCCGGGGGCTCTCTTAATCACCCCTCTACAAGGGGTACATCTGCTTGCCAACTGTGGGCCCTCCTCCCTCTGAGCCTTAGTGAGCATCTATAAAATGGGATTAAATGCCAACTGCACTGATTAGAACTCAGCAAGGTGATAGAAGTGAGTACATGGCCAACACCAAGCACAGCACAGGCACTTGGCGTGAGGCAGCAGCTATGGCCACATAAAAACACCCCCGATACGGAGTGGAGCCAGTGTCCTAATGCAGCCTCAGGTATGCGGCCCGCTTCCAATGGAGATGAAGTCCAATGGGAATTAAAAAGTCACCTACAGATGGCTTCAGAGCCCAAAATCCTCATACACACGTATGACGCACCTTCAGATTGAATCCAAATTTTCCATCCTCATCTGGCGTGATGCGGATCAAGATTAAGTAGCCGTCCCCGTTGTCATTCTGGAAAACGTTGGGAAGTGGTCAGTTAGGTCACTTCCCTCTCCACCAGGTGCCGCTGCACTAGGAAGCCAGGGCAGGCCGCCGGGTGCCTGAGCACCGCAGGGCCTGGGCTCGCTCACCTTGTCGCAGTAGTACTGGCTGGAGTCCTCGGTGGAGCCCCCTTTGGTCACCCTGTGGAAGTCCTCTAAGAACTGCTGGTCCACGCCATCTGGGGAGCAGGAGCCCGGAGCGTTTGAAGACGGAGACACAGAGCTGGATGACTTCCGGGTCGGGCAACTTTGTGCTGGGTTGCTCTCGGATACGCTCCTTCATTGTGGGGGAGGAGGAGACGTTTTAGTCACTGGATTCATATTTGATCAGAGCAAACACTACTGACTATTTGAGGCCTGACATCCCCCAGTTGTCACGAACCCTTGCAACCTTAAGAGAGCTCCGGAGGTCAAGCTCAGGGCTCTGGTACCCCATTCCCCACAGGCCACCCTGGTCCCCATCTGGCCTAAATGTCACCACCTGTAGTTTGGGGGAAGGAGGCAAAAGAACAGGGCAGATCTCAGCTCCCTTCCCAGCTGCATGAGAAGGTGACGGGGAAGTGGACCAGCTACTCAGATGCATGTCTCCATCCTTCCGAAAGCCTTTTCCTTCTATCTCAACCCAAAGCAAATGGGACTAATGTTGCATATTCAGGGCTATTTAGATTAATCCTACTTTGTGTTATTTGCTTGTGACTCCAGTAGTTGTCCATGCTGAGATTATATGCTTTATCTTTCTCTAACATGGGTCTTTCTGTATCTTAGAGCTGCAATGTCCAAAATGGTAACCACCAGTAACACATAGCTATTTACATTTAAATCAATAGAGATTAGAAATTTCTTCATTTGTAACAGCACATTTAAAAAATGATCAATAGCCCTGGCTGATGAGTTCAATGGTTATAGCATTGGTTAGACCTTGTGCACCAAAGGGTCTTGGGCTCAATTACTGGTCAAAGACACATAACTAAGTTGCAGGTTCAATCCCTGCCCTAATTGGGGCATGTGCATGAGGCAATCAATCAATGTATCTCTCTCACATCTCTCATTTCTCTCTCTCTCTCCCTCTTCTCAGCTTCCTCCCTTCCTCTCTCTCTAAAAACTAATGGAAAAATATATCCTCTGGTGAGGATTAAAAAATAATAAATTGGGGCCCTAATTGGTTTGGCTCAGTGGTTAGAGTGTCAGCCTGTGGAATGAAAGGTCCCAAGTTCAATTCCGGTCAAGGGCATGTACCTTGGTTGCGGGCACATCCCTGGTAGGAGGTGTGCAGGAGGCAGCTGATTGATGTTTCTCTCTCATCGATGTTTCTAACTCTCTATCCCTCTCCCTTCCTCTCTGTAAAAAGTCAATAAAATATATATTTAAAATAAATAAATAAATAAATAAATAAATAAATAAATAAATAAATTGGGGGGGAGGCCAATAATCTCATGAGGCTAATGGTTCCTATTTTGAACAAGCTAAGTTATAAAATATTTCCAGCATCACAGGAAGTCCTGTCTTGGAGAATTACAGACTGTTAGAACTGAACAAGCTTCTATGTTCACTGGGTCCAACTCCCCCTTGACAGATGAAGTAACTATTGTCCAGAGATGCTGAGTGGCTTGACCAAGGTCACACAGCTTCCCCCTCACTTAATAGACAGATGTCTGATGGCATCTCTTTCTTCTCCAGACTATGCCAAATCTGCTCCTATGCACCCTCCACACCATTCCCTCCCACCCAACCCTCCAACACCACAGTCTCTAACCCCGAAGGATTGCAGAGAGTAACCATCTCAGCCGTCACTGTTTAGGACATCAACTTCTCTGCATCACCCCTCCCCCCGCCCACTAACCCCCCTCCAGAGCCATAGGCCTAGCAAAAATGCCTTAAAAATCCTACAGAATACAGGATTTTCCTTTTGCTCTATATACAGGGTTAGTGATGGGAGAGGTGAGTAGATGAAGACAGTCAATGAAAGAGAAAAAACATAGTAGTGGCTGCCTCTTACTAAATCATTATTTCAAGCCCTTATCTGCGAATTTTTCATTAAGTTAGGGCTTCTCTGTTTCCTAGAAAGTTCAAGTTACCTTACTTTAACTACAAAATCAGTATCCTATTCAATTTATTGAGTCACAATTCCAATTTATTGGAATATAAAAATTCAATTACAGACCCAATGTAGGAATATACTAGTAGCTACATGCAAGAGAAGAGTTTAGCCCTACGGGTTTTCAAGTTGAAGGAAAGGTATTATGGATGGAAAAGTGTTTCAGACAGGATCCTTTAGGACTGAAACTGTAGACAAGTAGTAAGTTTTCAGACTAAAAATGAATGAGACTTTAATTTACGTAAGACCACACAAAGTAAGAACAAAAATAAATCTCTCCCACAAGTAGGGCAACTTGCCTACATTTTCATGTTTACAAGAGCACCCCCTAGTGGCAGACAGGTTTAGGAAACCCTATGTCCTGAACTTGCAACAGGAAGAAGATGGAAGCAGCACACTCACTACACACGTGTGGGAGACTCTGGAGGGTGACAGCGATGGAAAGGGTGAAGGACATGCAGACAAAGAAACAGGTGAGCAATGTGACAAAGCAGAAGAGAACAGACAAAATCAGTAAAATGCTCATGTATTTTACAGTCGCTCATTTTCTAAAAATTTTAATGTGTGGATGACATCATCCAACGTTTTAAAGTACTTTTCCTTTCGGCATAAAACAGCCCACAGTACTCAAAAGAATACACTCAAAGCCATGCTGTGTCCCATCCTGCTTTCTAAGTAGGGTCATAGAGGTAACTTTCATTAAGCATGTGACGGCAGCTTTTGGCTGATCCACGGTGTGCAGACGATCGCCTGCAGGCTGCAGGGACGTTCTGCTCAGCAAGGAAGATGGAAGACAGATGGTGAGGAGGACATCAATGGCAAGGAGCGCTGAGACCGTGGCAGCTGGATGCAGCACGGGAATGCCAGGAGTGAAGATGCCAAACCAGGCTGGCTTCCTCTCTCCTGGGGCACGATGTGCATGCTAACGAGGGAGGGAGAGCCTAGTGGGTGAGGAGGGAGCGGTGAGGGGAGCTGTGGGAGGAGCCAGGGCTCCTGGGGAAGAGGTAGGATGAGGGAAGTAAGAAGAGAGGGCGGCTGGAGGAAGCAGGCAGGAGACTGGGGCTGGAGGAGGGAGCAGAAGCAAAAGGTTTGTCCCTGAGGCAGGAAGGGGACACCTGTCAGAGGAGGAGGGACAGGGAAGGGGGACTGCTGCTGCCCTCTGGGATCCAGAGTAGCCAGGGAAGGGCTGACCAACCAGCTCCCTGGGAATAAAGGGGTGGAGGCAGGCAGGCAGGCAGGTAGCCCTCAGCCGCAGCACTGTGAATGTGACAGGCTTCAGCAACAAAAGCCATGGCAGCGTTCTTTCCTCTGAAGAAGAGCAATGTTAGAGAGTGAAAATGGCAGGACTGCCCATGAAGAAAAGAATCCTGTGTGATGCTTCCCTCACCCCTCTTTCATAAAAGAATCCTATGTGATGCTTCCTCACCCCTTACCCTTGAGACAAGGACAAATACCTCTACCCCCAACCTGTGCTCCCACTGAGGGTTCCGCGGCCCTGACTCGCTATGGCGGTGGGACAGGTGGGACACAACGGGGCCATTTCCCATCAGGTTTCTCTCCGAGTCTCTGAGCTTCTTTCGGTCGGGAGAGACCCCAGACCTCTTTCCGTTCCTGGCTGGGTGACCGTAAGGCTCGGCCAGGCACGCAGAGCGCGCTCCATGAAGACGCTGGGTGAACGAAGGAGAAAATGCCTCTAGGCGGTTCCCGGGGCTCTAGTGGAGTTCTCTCGAACCCAGGAAGCTCAGTGAACAGAGAGGGTGGGTTCAGCAGTTCTCAGCATCTGTAAGACCAGAGCTCCTGAGAATGCCACGAGGTTCTCCTTAACATGCAGGCTCCGCCTCGGCAGCTCTCTCTCTTTTGAATAAAGTTCCTGGAAGAATGTGTCACACGGACCTCACACAAGGCCACTGAGTAACAAAAAGATCAGTGTCTTAAGACTGAGCTCTTATGATTTGGAGACATTCTGAACATGCCATTCTTATCTTGGCAATGACCCAGCTCAGTGCAGGAAAAATGAATGCAAAACTCCTAAGGAAACCCTGCTGCTAGCTGGTCTCTGTGGGAGACACTTAGACGGGGTCCAGATCCCGCCACCATGTTCAAATCTGGTGCCAAGAGCGGAAAGTGGCTGAAGGGACCTGAGTAGTTTAATTTAAAGGACAGTGCGTGGGGCTGTCAGGTAGGACTGGAAACAGACACCCTTTGTGGTTTCCTGGGAGTTTGAGGCAGGGATCGATGAATGTTCTGGGTCACTGCCAAGGAGGAGGCGCTGCCCAACCTCGGAACAGGCTGCCAGCCTGCAGGAGGGCTCTCCATCACCAGGTGACAGGGCCCGGGGGATTCCTACATGGCCGACGTGGCTGAGGAGAGGGATTCCCTAAGTACCTTCCAATGCACAGAAATTGTCTAAAATTTTTTCCCCCCTCCCTTCCCTTGTAAAAGCAAATTTTAAAATTGAACAGTGGTGCCGAAACCGGTTTGGCTCAGTGGATAGAGAGAGCGTCGGCCTGCGGACTGAAGGGTCCCAGGTTCGATTCCCGTCAAGGGCATGTGCCTTGGTTGCAGGCACATCCCCAGTTGGGGGTGTGCAAGAGGCAGCTGATCGATGATCCTCTCCCATCGATGTTTCTAACTCTCCCTCTCTCTTCCTCTGTAAAAAAATATCAATAAAAAATATTTTTTGAAAAATCAATAAAATATATATATTTTTAAATTTTAACAGTGGTAAATGCACACTTAACATGTATCATCGTCACCATGCTTCAGTGCAGCAGCACTAAGGGCATTCACATGGTGTGTGCACAGAAGCTCTGAAGTAAGAAGGAACAAGACAGCTCTGAAGAAACAGACGAGGAACAGCAAAGGCCCCGGTGACTACGCACAGCCCGGCACACTCTGGGGGTGTCTCCACTGGCGATCCAATCCTTGGGAAAAACAATAGCGACGTTCTTCACACGCACCCTGCATCTGCCCACAACCTTGCTTCCCTCCAGTGTCTGCTCGGCAAGGCCGTTTTCCCTTTAGGGGGACCTCCCCTCCCGTTTTTCTGGGTGGTGGGTGGTTAGTTTTGGTTTTACGGCCGTGAAGGACACTTCCTTCTCTGCAGATTGTGGCCTTCGCTCTGAAACAAGGAAAGGAAGGCAGGAGCCTGGGGAGGTATGCGCCCAGCCAGCCCACTTGGGCACAAAGCAAACTGCCAAGGATGGGGATCTGTGACCCCAAACTTCGCCGAGCTGCTGTGAGCAAGGACATGCCGGCGGGGACTCCTCCGCCCGGAGAGCGCTCAGAGACCCTGAGCTGTGCCACCGAGTTTCAAGCTAGAGTCTAGCTGCTCTTTTTCTTCCTTTCTCTTTCTCCTTCTTGCTGGAATGGGTACAGAACATTACATTTCATTCTGCTTTCTAAAAGGAGCCCGCCTCGCTGCCTGTGATAGAATTCATCGGATTTCTCTGACAGAATCCTTCTTTTTGCCTCTTAACACAAATCTGCTGTATTAAACATGTCAAACGCTTCTTAAACATTTTGCAAATACTCACTGAAATAACCACAGTTTTTTCCCCACTCAGTACAGCTCAACCTTCCTTTCTTGCCTGGGGCAATAGAGAGCCCCCACCCCCTGACACCCAGGGAGGCCAGCTGCCCCTGAGGACCCATCAGCCAGGAGGACCCCACCTAACTGAGGAGGTAGGGGCTGCAGTGTTTCAGCTGTTCACCCCACTGGCAAAGTGCAGCGGCTATGTGACTGGGAGACATCTGCTGTCAGTGCACCTGGCCAAGCCCCAACAAGGCAGGCTGCCTTTGAAACATGGTTATTTGCAACTTTTTAAAATATATATCGATATATATGTTTTTATTGATTTCAGAGAGGAAGGTAGAGAAAGAAAGAGGTAGGAACATCAATAATGAGAGAGAATCATTGATTGGCTGCCTCTGCACACCCCCCACTGGGGATCGAGACTGCAACCCAGGCATGTGCCCTTGACCAGAATCAAACCCAGAACTCTCCAGTCTGTAGGCTGACAATCTATCCACTGAGTCAAACCGGCTAGGGCGCTACTTTTAACATTTAGCTGCAGAATGAAAAAGTGCCCAAGAAGGACACATCTTCCAAGGTCTGGTGGAAGAGTTTCAGAAAGAATGGATGTGCAATGCGTAGGGGTGAGCAGGGCCAGCAGTGTCTTAAACAGGGCTGGAGGAAGTGCATTTGAAATTTAATTTAAATTAGAACAGCCGTATGTGGTAGGGGCTCCTGGACTGGACTGCTGAAGGTCTAAGATGCTCTGCAATTCCATGATGTGACGGCAGACCAGAGTAGGGAAATCTGATGCAGGACACAGAATTCTCAGAACCTTCAGACAATCCCCCAAAATCCCTTCTCCTTTCAGCAAAGCCGCAGACCCCCAGAGTGCGATGATGAAGGATGATCACGTGCCATTTGCCCCGCTTGCCTAGAGGCCCCTGAAGGTAGAGATCTGTCTAATTTGTCTCGATGTTTCCTCAATGAGCCTCGAAGGGAGTATAAAGTGTGCTGATGGATTAAAACTTCCCCACTGCCCAGCTGGTGTGGCTCAATGGTTGAGTGTCAACCTATGAACCAGGAGGTCACGGTTCGATTCCCGGTCAGGGCACATGCCTGGGTTGTGGGCTTGATCCCCCATAGGGATTGTGTAGGAGGCAGCTGATCAATGATTCTCTTTCATCATTGATGTTTCTATCTCTCTCCCACTCCTTTCCTCTCTGAAATCAATAAAAATATATTAAAACAAAAAACAAACAAACAAACAGAAACCCCATCCCCACAGCACTGGACCGAGTTCCTCTCCCTGCACCAGGCACTGAGCGGTGCCGTTAACAGCACTTCCTGTGATGATGGAAACAGACTTCCGCTGTGGCGTCCACGGTGGCCACTACCTACACGAGGATCTTGAGCCCTTGAAATAAGGATGTGCGACAGAGGCACCCAATTTAAATTTTATTTTCCTTTAAATTATTTCAATTAGAATACCTACATGTGGCTAGCGGCTACTGGACTGGTCAGGGAAGGTCTAGCTGCTCCACAATTCCATAACGAGGCTGCAAACCGCAGTGGGAAGATCTGACACGAGGCTCTGCCTGGGCTTCCCAGAGCCCCCGTCAGGTCCCCAAACCCTCCTTCTCCTTTCGGCAAAGCGAGAGAAGCCCACTGCAGACGCAAACCAGGTGGAGTGATGCCTGCCTGCACGCGCATCTCTAGATCGGCAAAGCCGGGGTCACACAGAGGAAGGTACCCGCTTCCACGGCAGCCTCACCAGGCCTGCAGTTGGAGCAAGAGATAGTGATCATTTCAACAAAAGCATTGTCCAAGCTCCGGGCCAGGAGGAAATAATGGCCAGAGGGATTATTTAACAAGACGTGTTAAGAACACAGATAAGCTGGAAACCGTGACTGCCGTGGTCCGGGACAGCAGAGCGGCAGCAGCCGCATGCGTACGTAGGAAACGAGGTTTGCAATTCACTTGTGAGGCCTAGAGGACAATCAGGCTGCATTTAATGCTTATAACAGGGAGCTGGGGTGGTAAAAAGTTACCCATGAACTGAAATGCCTCCGTGTGAACCCTACACTGTCGGGGGAGGAACGATGTTTATATTTGAGGGTTAGTAGAGGACTTCACAGAATGGATACCTGTGGCCATGGCTGACTAGTTGACCCCATCCCACTTTAGCTTAAGATGCCATTTTGCTTCTTTAGGACCTGTATCTTTCCCACTTCAGAAAATGGTTTGAGATAGCTGATCCTAAAATGTACAGATATGGCAGAACTGTGCACTCATTAAAACGAGAGAAAAAATAGAGCCCGTTAATAATTCTTGTGTTTTCTGTTCTAAGGCTTGTGGCCAGTCATGAGAATTCTTGACGAGCAGGACTCTCTCAGAAACCTGGGCTAGGGGAAGCCAACTCCGTTGAGCATATTCATGGAGCTCTGAGCTCCCTGGGAATCAAGTCAAAAAGGGAACTAGCATATATGATACATCTTAGTGAATAATAATAGGACTCAAGCTAGTATTTCAGGAGAGATCTTTTTCCTGGCCTTGAGAGGAGACGGTCACATTTAAAAAAGGAGAGTGGGGATATAAAAGAACTTGATGCAAACTGTCCTTGACGCAAATAGAACAAAAAATCAGAGATGTCCTACGCCTGTTTTTTTCTTTACATTAACTATTCATTAAAGACAAAATGGAAACAAAACCCCAGAAGGCATGCTGTGGCTCTGCGCAGGCTTTCTGTGGAGAAGCTTGTTTCCGGGGATCTGGGGCCCGGCCGCGGTAAAATCTGACAGCTAGAGAAATACTACCGTGGTTAACATGCCTGTACCTCTGGGGAATGTGGAACGAGACTGAGCTTTGCTCAGGACAGGGAACAGCTCTGAGAAGTCCAGCCCCAGCCCCCAGGCTCCCAGCCTGCCTTCCAGTGGGCACCTAGGGAGCTGGCTGCAGCCTCCAGCCCTTGATTCTGGCCATCTGGGCCTGGGCAACCTCCCCGACAGTCACCACAAGCAGGTAAAAAGAGAGAACAACCCAATCTCTTACTCTTGGTGTGGGCTCTGGTTCTGAGAAGCCTCCGAATCGCTATCTTTCGGGGAGAGGGAGCCCTTGTAGGTGTAAAACACATCCTCGGTTTCGGTGATGTACGTCATCTCGTTGGCGAGGTTGTCCGCGGAAGAGTGCCTTGGCTTTCGGATTTCATGCCGGAGCCGAGGACTCCGCCTGGATGGGGAAAAGGTGGAGCGTGAAGTGTTGAAAGCAAATCCCACTTGAAAAAAATTTTTTTTTTAATCACACACCAGGAATCTAACTGTGTGCCCTGACCTTTCGAAGAATGACTGGGCTGATGATGTTGCAAAGTAAGAGCCCGTTAACCCATTACTACCCTTGAGTCCACCAGGGGCCACGAAGGTCCCCAACACTGTCAGCCCAGCAGTGCAGCCCCCAGATCGGGAGGCTCAGTTTCATGAAGAGGCAAAGGAGATGGCTTATGCCCTTTGGGAAGGCACTGAGCATTGACGTAGGGTTGGCCGTCCGTCAAGGAGGACTCAGGTTCTCGATGCATACATAAGAGGCCGTGCTGACTGCTAATCAGACAATTTTACTGATTCTCTTGAATAGTAGAAATAAAAGGTTAAGTCGAAACTCAAACCTTATTTCAACTACTAGCACATCCCTTCATGCAGATTTCACTTGATCCAAGAAGAAAGGTCTGCTCTGTAAAATATAAATATCTCTCTTGTGTGGTATTAGATGGACATCACAGCATTATCCTTTTCCTCTGATGGCAGCGGGAGCTCTGTGACCTTAAGCAAGCCATAGCACCTCCCTGGCCTTAGCTGTGCCTCCCTGTTCCTAAGAATAAATCAGAAGAGGCAATGTCCTCAGGACGCCGGGTGCAGCCCCTGGGGATCGGCTACTGCAGTGGGGATTCCAGGAGCTTAGCTTTCCACGTTCTATTTCCCCTCCGCGTTTCCTCCCGCCCCTGGTTAGCCATTTGTCCGTGGGACTGTCAGGGCCTCCACTATCCACAGCCCCCTGGGCCTGGGTAATCAATAACACTGTGTCCAAAGCAGAGTGGAAAGGCTGGTAACTCCTTAGGGAGGACCTGTAAACGTGGCACATCAGGCCCAGCGGTTCTCCTGGGTGCCATCCTGGGCCTCTGCTGCCGAAGCTACGCTCAGACAAATTGAGCTAATTTATCGTAAATTTACCTCTTCACACACTGTGTACCAGTAGTTTCATTGCTAGCTTTACCCAGTGGCCAGATAAGTTTCTATTGAACGAGAACAAAAAAACTTTTACATAAATGTTAAAGGCACGCTTTAAAATTAAATGCCCATTGCATTTTGAAATTGTTTATTATATGTTCTTACAAGCTAATATCTTTTTAGAGAATTCTCATGACTGGCCACAAGCCTTAGAACAGAAAACACAAGAATTCTCATGATCCGTCCGTAATGTGTTAACAAGAATGTGGGACTATATCTTGGAACCCAAGAAGCAAATCTGCTCAGCTCTGTTACGACTGCTAACAACAAATACCTCGTCATCCCTGCCCAGAGCCTTGGGCCCCGGTGGCAGGTCCTCACCCAGAGGCCTGTGAGAATGTCCCTTAGCCCGGGAACTTAAAGGCTCACAGGTCTTTCGTGAAATGAACAGAAAGTCACACTCCTATCCCAGCACGGAGCTGGGGAAATGTTTCCAGATCAGTGTCCCTTCTGCAGCTGACTCAGCCAGGGTGCTGGGGAGGTATTCACAGAAATCACCTGGTGCTTTTGCCGAGGGACGGGGTGGGGGGCACTTGTCATACAGTAACAATGATAATTCCACCTCAAACTATGTATTCAGCTTACAAAGCACTGAGGCGTTACTTCTTTTGTGGCAATTTTTATAACCCTTTTCTAGTTGGGGTGACTGAGATCAGAGAGGTAAAGAAACTTGTGGAGGAGCAGGCAAGTTAAAATCTGAGCCTGGGTTTTTCAGCTACAAACCCAGTGTCCTTCCCCAGCCGGTGCCCAGCTGCCACTTCCTTCCTTTTCCCCAACTCCACCGTCTTAGACAGGGGCAGGCTCCCTTCCCACGGGCGTTTGCTCCTGTTGCTGAGGCTCGCACGTCCATACATCAGTTCGATCGTGCTCCTGAATCAGGCTACCACAAAATTTCCTCTCTGATGTTAATGGGCAACATGAGATTAGATAAATAAAATCCAACACGCTCTTTATTACAGGACTTGTTAGAACATTAATTGGCTCATGTGCACTCGCATGCCAAGAGGGCATTCCAGCAGGCTGCAGTTCTCAAATCTAGACCAAGTAACTTTTAAAAAGAGAACATCCCAGCATTATCCACCAAGGAAAGTGTTAAGCTAGACGTGTGCCTTTTCCAAAACAGTTTCCTCTGCAGCAGCCAAACCTGCTGATGTAAATTCTATTGTTGGCCATCTTGATTTAGGAATTTATTATTAACTAGAGGCCTGATGCACAAAGATTCCTGAAAGAATGGGCCTTCCTTCCCCTGGCTGCCAGCACTGCCTTGGCTCTGGCCAGAGCCACCATTCCCCCTTTCTGCCTTTGCTCCAACTCCGAGCTGCCTTTCCGCCTTCCCATGCTGCCCAAGGGCCCGAAGTGGCTGGGACGGTGTAGAACACCTGCATCATCACCATGGCGATGACACAAACATTCCAGCCCCAGCCACTCATTGCCTGTGCATGCAAATTAACCTGCCATCTTTATTGGGTTAATTTGCATACTCACTCCTGATTGGCTGTTGGGCACCACGGAGGTACGGTCAATTTCTATCTTTCTCTTTTATTATTATTATTTATTTATTTACTTTTTTTTTTTTTTTTTTTTTTTTTTTTTTTGAGAGAATGTGCTTACTGGTGAGTAATACAAAAAAAAAAAAGAAAAGGAGGACGTACCAGTTGGGAGTAATAGGAGGGGACCGAGAAGGCAGACTCTTGGTTTCTAAATGCTCCACGGATAAGGATCTCCGCATGGCTGGGTTCCAGACCATCCCTCCAATCACCTTTTTGCAATACTGGTTATTTACAGACCTGAAAAACCAGATGCAATTTCACTTTCTACACTGACATGTTCAACAAGGAAGACATTACAGTGTAAGGTGAACACTCTGTACACACTCCCTCCCCAGACCCTGTTGACACTGGCCGAGGTTAGCAGGAGTAGAGGTGCAGGGGTCAGAAGCAATCCTTTTCTTTATGTTATTTTTTCTCTTCTGGTGGAGATCTCTCTCTCCTTTTTTTTTTTTTTCCTTAATTACAGCACGCAACCCGGGCATGTGGCCTGGCCAAGAATCAAACTGTGATCTCCTGGTCACAGGCTGATGCTCAACCACTGAGCCACACTGGCTGAGCTAAAAGTTACTTTTGAATTTTATTTGTACTGAGAATTTAAATTTTGGCTATCTATAATAGATCCCTTAGAGAGTGAATTATTTCAGAGGATGAAGTCTGAAGCCAGTTTAGGGGGAACTCAGGTCTGGGATTTCTAGGTTTTAAGTAATGTTTCAATGTTGTATGAAAACAGTCCACATAGTTGTTGCAGCCTAAAACCACCACCAACAACAAAAGAACAAAACCCCAAAGGACACAAACAACACAAAACAGCCCCTGGAATATCTCTGCACTTATTTACTACAAGAAGTGCCATTGTCACCCTCATCGAAATTCGCATAGCAGCACTGCTAACCAGAACCTACAGCAAATTACCACTGACCAGGGGCACAGCACCGAGGGAGGGCAGCAAGCGGGCGATTCAGAGGTTTAATGTAGCAGCTCCCCAAAGGATGCATCATGTGTTATTAATAGCTACTATTTGGGGGGGAGGAGGGGAAGGAAAGTGTTCCATTGTCCCATAAGCTTGGAAAACGTAGACCGAGTTTCTTTTATGTGGACCTTCTCAGGACGAGGCCTAATATGCAAATGTGTAGATGTATCTCTAGGGGCTCACCAAGGCCTGGAACCTCTCTAAGCCTGTTTCCTCATCTATAAAGTGGGGCTGAGATTTCCCAGGACATTGAAGCTGACACTGGTAGTAAAGAATTGCTGACCTGTGCCTCTGAACCACTGGTAACATCCCAAGTGAACCAGTGGCTGGTGAAAGGTGGCTGCGGGTTCTTTGACTCCTGAATCGGGCTGGCCTGTGACTGCTGTGACCTCTGCAGAGCAGCTGGTCACAGCTGTGCCACTTCTGGACCCAGCCTTTACGATGATCGGCCACCTCTGTCTCAGACTCTTGGAGCCCTCAGCCCGTGTGTATGAAACCCAACCACCCTGCTAGAGCGCTCACATGAAGAGGGCCTGGGAACACAGAGGGGGCGAGGGGTCCAGGTGAGCCAGCCTGCCAATCACTTCGCCAAGGCACCAGGGGTGTGAGAGAAGTCGTCTTGGACTCTCAGACCAGACTAGCTACCAGCTGCCTGTCGCGGAGCAAAGAACTGTCTGTCTGAGGCCTTCCCAAAGTCCTGACCCACAAAACCTTGAGATATAATACCATGGTTGTTGCTTTAAGTTACCAAAATAAAGGTAACTTTTAATGCCACAGTGCACAACCAGATGCCCTCCTCGACACTCCATGCTAACTGCATTTTATAATGAGGACATCGAAGCTGCAATGTAAATGAAAACGGAGGTTGCACAGGTGGGATTTGAGCCCAGGCTGCTTGGCACCAAAGTCCATGCTCTCAGCTGGCCGGAAGGCTTGGGTCCAACTGAGGTAAACACTGCATTCCAATAAGCTGTGCTCATGGCTTGTTCAGTAATACATCTCCCGAATGTGTAAAATACTAGACAGTACTGTAAGAGCTAAAAACTTTGAAGATGCATTTGTTTGTGGTTTACCAGAAGCTGAGAGAGAGCACTTAGTGCCATAAATCCTATCACTGATACTAACAGAAACTTCCTACTTATTGAATCTTTAGTTATTTAATGATCATCAATGAAACAGGAAAGTCACTGGAGTTGTCTGACACAGCCCCATGTATCAGATACTGGCTCATACAAGGGCATTGTTTAGTTAGCCACAGCCATATCAACAATGCAAAAATCACAAAACCAATTCCTCAAACCAACAAATCGTAAGTATAATTGAATTCAGACAGGGTGGCTCAGTGGTTGAGCATCAGCCCAATGACCAAGAGGTCCCCAGTTCAATTCCTGGTCAGGGCATATGCCCAGGTTGCAGGCTCGATACCCAGTAGGGGGTTTGCAGGAGACAGCTGATTGCTGTTTCTATCTCTCTATCCCTCTTCCTTCCCTTCTAAAATCAATAAAAACATATATATTTTTAAAATAATAATTGATAAGCAATTTCTGCTACAGCGTGTACTTAGAAGGCGATCTGAGCACAAATACACAAAAATATATAAAGCATGGTTAGTTTACTTAGAGAATGAACAACTTATATTAAAAGGTAAACATGTAGAGGTTAATGTCTTTTACTCTACTACTTATTACCTTCTTTGAATATTCTTCTTGTACATAATAGTACGCATGGGGTTATACTTTTAAGAATTAAATATAATTATGTGCATGATACAAAGCAAGCACTCAATAATTACAGCTATAATTTTTACTTGTAATTATAACTGTCATTTCATGATTGTTATATAGAGCACATACCAGTCGCTTGACTCTGGAAATCTTATTCATTCATTACTACGAAGCATCCCAGGGAATGAATGTTCTGTCTTAGTGGCAGCAGGCCAGGGAAGCCCATTTGCCAGCTCCGCGGTGACCCTGAGTCACTGCCACGTGCTCCCCTTATTGTGACCCGAGGTGAGTGCAGCTGTGAGGCTGGCTGCCTGGGAGCTCGGAGGACAGCAGAGCGGGGAGGCAGGAATAGGTGACAGGAACCTGAGCAGAATCTGAGCATGTGTGGGAAAGAGACACCACTGCCCCCGGATGGGGTGGCAGCCATGGTTCCGAGACCTGTCAGCAGCCGCGGCCCCAGCGCCCGGGGCCCCTGGGTGATGCCATCCCACCCCCGACGGAGCCTGTCCCCTCCCCGGTGGGGACCAGGACGTGTTTACTTCTCGGTCTGGCCTGGAGACCAGCGTGTACTCACTTGTTGGGGTTCCTGGAGCCCAGCGTCCAGTACTGAGACAGAACATTCTTTTCCTGAGGCAGCAGCTTCTTTGCCTGAAAGAACGTATGGTGCTCGACACAGGATTTCCACAGGGTTTTGCAAGACCGGTAATTTAGCATGTTGAAGGCCACAATGTGATCCCTGGATTCAGGCTGGGAGGAGAAACACAGCAGAGATGTCATCGGCACGGAAGCAGGCGCGAGGGCTCAGCGGCACCTCACGCCACACGGTGGCGGCCAGGTGAGACGCGGCAGGCCGCGGTGACTGGCTCCCACGGGCCTCGGCCACAGCCCGGCGCTGCAGGAATGCCCAGATCGTGGGCTCCTCAACCATCTTCATGGGAAAGGCGACCCGAGCCTACTCTTTGTCGGTATCTGTGGGCCTTCGTGAGCACCTCCCTTTCAGAGGTGCCTGCATTTCTGGGTTGGATATATTTGGAACAACCAGAAGGGCTGTCGGATACTTTCCTTTGAACATTTAGCTCTGGGCAAACCTCTCCCCGGGAGAGATGACTTTCACCCAGCAGACCACGGAAATAATTTCGTAACACTCTGGATTTCTCCACTTGCTTTTCCATAAAGCAGAGTGAAACAGAGTGCTCCTATGGAACCACCGCTTTAATTATCTGCTTTCCTTCTAGCCTCCCTGAGCTTAGGGTTTGTTTTCACGTTCAAGTACCGTCCTGTGCATTTCTAGGCCACCTTGAATCCTGTGGGGGGAGGAGAGGGAGCCCCAGAGGCTAGCCCTGGTTTTCTCTGGGCTTTTGTGCTTTTCTTTCTAAGTGCTCACTGCCATGGGGAGCCATTCTAGGTCCACACATTCCTTGCAGCACTGGGAAATGGACACGGTGACAGTAAGTGCAAAGCCTGCAGCGGAACCAGAGGGAGCCTGGTACCGTGGAAGGAGCAGCAGCTATGGTTTACATCCCAGCCCCTCCCCTTCGTAGTGAGGAGCCTGAGCTCCCTCACTGCTGAGCCCTTCTTCCTCTCGGACAACCAGACAGAGTCACTGGGAGTTGCTGGCAGGCCGGTCCCCTCTCAGGAGACACGCACAAAGGCCGGCATGCATTTGGGACTCATCGAGGGAAGGGACTGACCCTGCTGACACCTCCTGCTACTCGCCTGCACCAGGCGCTCCGACCAATGCTCTTGTATTTAATCCTCGCGATTAAATACAAGCAGGCAGTGCTGTGTTTCTGTAAAGAAGGTAACTCGGCTAGGCTAGGGGGAGGCGAGTAACCTGCCGGTTGGTACGTGGATGAGCTAGCCTGAACCCACCATCTGACTCCAAAGCTAGTTCCTTCTCCAACCAGACAAGCAGCGTGAGTTCTTCAGAGCTGCTGGGTCCTCGGGGCTCCGAGTTCCGTTTTCTTCCCGCCTGAGCCCTGCTCTTCCCTCCCTGCTCTGCACAAGGCAGACCGCCTTCACCCGCGGGAGGAGCCGAGGTGGTGAGAAACGAGAGACAAAGCCAGCGTAGGCGGAACTCACCTGCTTTTGCCGCTGATGTATAAAGAACTTTTTCCTTTTGAAAGAGATTTTTAGGATGTTCACCCTGCGTAAAGGACAAGAAAACACACCAAGAAAGCACATGAGGGATCGGTCGGGCGGTGGCTGCCGCCTCCCAGGGCACGTCCTCTGCTCCAGGGGCCGATGACCAGAGTTCACTTCCGTGTAGGTGTGATCACGGCTCCATCGCCTCGGCCCAACACCAAGCAGCTGACGGAAGCCAGGAGTCACATAGGAGCCGCTGGATTAGGATGTAGCTTTTAAACAACAAGAACTATGAGCAGCGTGCTCTTTGCTGCAGCTGCATTTGTGACAGCTCTGCGTGAGCTGGTGTGCACCTGGGGCAGACGGGGGTTGGGGGGGTGGGAGTGTGGAGCCACAGAAAGAGGACCCACATCCTAGTTCCTTACTCAACAGCTGTGTGCCCAGCAGCCCCTGGAATGTTTGCGTAACAACACAACTACAGCCACCGTGCACTGCGCGCTTTTTATATGCCAGGTCCCCTACTAAAAGCTTTACCAGCAGTCCCTCCCCTAGCCTTGCAACGGCCTGAGAAGTACATTTTATGATGCCCAGTTTTCAGATGAGGAAAGTGAGGCTCAGAGGCATCACCTCAGGGATCAGCTAGGATGCTTGAAGCTGGGGTCTGAGCGGTGCTCTTAGTCCTCCGCTGTGAAGTCTGCTGAACGGGGGACAGCGCTGCCTTGCCCATGGACTTGTCTTGTGGGGATTCAAGTCTTGGGTCCCCTGAGTTTTTAGACCAGAACTGAACACTTGGTAAAAAGTTCAATTAATGAGTAAAAATCGCATTGAAAACACAGTTCTTGTGCAGAGAAAGTTCTCAGAATTCTGGCCAATGCACTGCCCAGGATTTTTTTTTAACTCCAAAACCCAGCTTGCACCATTTTATCCACATCACCACAGGGGGACTCAGGGTGGGGCAGGGGACGCTGATAAAAACCAAACTGGCGTTCCCAAGTGCTGACTCTGGATCAGATTCAGAGGTCAGAGGTGAACACTTGGGAGAGTTTCCATCCTTTTTATTTTAGAAATAATCATTTAAAATTAGAGTCGACATTACTTTGGTTCAGCATATTTGTAAAGCACGATGCAGAAATAACAGAACCGGTTTGCACTTACCAAGGATAGAAACTTGTGCAAATATGTTTCCGGTACACAGCAATGCCCGCGGAGGCAATCCCGATCATTAGATCTAAATTGTGCAGATCCTGCCAAGAGGAAGAGCTCAGATTCACAGTGTGTTCTGGTCAGGCCCACGTCCTCGGGCGTCTCCCAACCACCCATGCTTTTATAAACAGCAACGCGCAGAAGCTCCGAAGGGAAAACATTACGGAAAAGAGGCCAAAATCCCTTCTAAGTGGACACTGAAGATCTAAGTATTAGTACCAGGTTCTTTCAAGTAAACGCACTGCCAGTAACACCCGCTCCACCGGTTTCAAAAAGTTACCAGGCCCTTCTGCTCATTCCACAGAATGACTGAGATGAAATTTGATTCTACATTTTCAACAATGAGTATGAGGTGTTATTAACATCACAAAGGCCCTGCCCCTGCACAGCTTTCTGTAGATCTCAACTCCTGCCACTAGAATGGAGTGAAAACCACGGACTCTAAATCCAATCAAAATGTAAAAGCTGCTTATACTAGTAAATCCAGTAAGTTCAACATCTGCTAAGAACCTGTGTGCTAGGCATGCTATAGAGAACGAAGATACAGAAGGAAGACACAGCCACTGTAAGCTGTTTCAGTTTGTTTGGAAACAGGTATCAGTAAACAAAATTTAAAAATAAAACAGTTCCTTCTCACCCCTGGCCCGGTAACTCTATTGGTTAGCGCGTCATCCCGATACACCAAGGTTGCAAGTTCAATCTCTGGTCATGGCACATACATGAAGCAACCAATGTATGTGTAAATAAATGGAACAAGTTGATGTTCCTCTCTCTCTCCTTTCCTCTCCCTCTCAAATCAATAAATAAAAATTAAAAAAACAAAGTCCCTACCTTGAGTCACCTGTCCCCCTATGTACCCAATCAGATACTTGTAATTACAAAGCAAGAGCAGAGCTTGACTCGGTCTGTGTTATTTTGAGCTACCAAGCATCAACTTTTCCTTCTGTATAATAACGATGACCGGGCACATCTCTAAGGGTTTTTATCAGTCTGAAAACAGGGAATATAAGTAAAGAACACAGAACAGGCATTGGGGACAACTCACTTTGGAAAAAACGATGTGAACACGGGAATTAGAAAAACTGATCAAAGAACACAGTGCCGATATCACCAAGGATCCAGAGAACATTCCCTATTGGGCACCCAACCGAAATCACACACATAAGCAAAACCAAATGTCATTGGTGGAAACTAGAGTTGCATTTAAACATGACACTTGGAATCAAAATAAGGGGAAAATACTAAGCAGGTGGTACAGACACACAAATGAGCAAATAAAGACAAAGTGGAGCACAAAATAAGGAAATCAGTGAGTGGCTTGGGTGGGCAGTGACCTGAGTCTCCAACCTCCTGGGTCTGTGGTCTTTCAGTCTGCACTTCAACCTCAGCAGCACAGACAGTTACGGATCCCTAAGTTCCCACACCCATCCCAACGTCTCCCAGATCCACTTGTCCAAGGCAGGGGCATAGGACTATGTGCAATACGGTCAGAAGTGACAGTGTGTTTCTTATGAGTGGTGTGCAACCCCCCAGCTTCCTCTTGTGACGGGCACGAGGCCTTGTGTGAAAAATGGTGAGGCCACCAGACAGGGGCGGCCTAGGCTGCTGAGTCATACCTGGAGGAGGGCGCCCTGGCGTTGTCAGGACCCGCTGCAGACTCTGAACTACAGAGAAACTTGGCCGTGTTAAGTTTCTGATATTTAGGGGGTTTTGGTTGATGCGGCATAGCCAGGGGTAACCCTACTCCCTCTGCTACCTGGCAGGTGTCAGCTGGCCAAAGGACCCTCATGGGGCACTGTGGGTGGGGAGAACACAGATCAACAGGAGCAGGTATAAAGCCTACTTCACCACGGAAGAAAGTTCTCCACAACATTCCACTAGAGAAAAGGTATTATTTGCAAATGGAATAAAATTTAATGGTCAAGTCCCAAAGTTGATATTTTGTAAGATCCGGTATCTTTAAAATACATATATTGATTTCAGAGAGGAGGGAAAAGGAGAGAGAGAAACATCAATGATGAAAGAGAATCATTGATTGCCTGCCTCCCACACACTCATTACTGGGGATTGAGCCCGAAACTTGTGCCTGTGCCCTTGAAAGGAATCAAACTGGGACCCTTCAGTCCGCAGGCTGATGCTCTCTCCACTGAATTAAACAGGCTAGGGCTAGATTTAGTATGTTTTTCCTACTTTGTTACCTACCTTTGTTACCTAACTTGCCTGCCACAATTACGCGCTTGAAGGAAGTGTTTCTATGCATTCCAAAAACATTATACAGAGATAAAATGTGGCCATTGACTGACTCAACTTCCCTTAGTCTTATCTGCAAAAGGAGATAATTAGGCTACCAATGTCAAAGGTTGCTATAATCTTTAAATGAGACCTTATGGTTTCCTATGAGACATCAGGAACAAATGACTAGGTGTTCTACCAATTATTTTCTTTCTTTCGGATATGATGTGGGCCAATTACAGCTATAAAAAGTAAAGGTCAGATATCAATTGAAAGGGCTGGGGTCATGTACCCAAGCCACTACTTAGGTGCTATTAAGTCCACAAGTATCAGTTACTCCATCTGTAAAAAGGGAGTAACGATAATACCCCATGGGAAACAAGCTACTGTGTGGCAGATGAAAAGTGCTCAGAAAATAATTGATGTTAGTCCATTTTATGTAAAAAGTCACAACCAGCCCTGGCTCGTGCTGTCCAGTGGTTAGAGTGTCGGCCCAAGCACCAAAGCGTCTTAGGTTCCATTCCTGGGCAAGGGCACATACCTGAGTTACAGGATTGATCCCCGGCCCTGGTTGGGGACGCTTGCAGGAGGCAACCAATCCATGTGTCTCTTTCTCAATGACACAACCAATTTAAAATATTTTCATAATCACACAATGGTAATTTTTAAAAAATGACAGTTGAGTAATTAGCTCTAATTTGAGCAGCACTGAGATTAAATAGTAGAAACCTTAGCTCATTAAAGCGTTACTTAGAAAACAGACTTCTATACCATTTTTGCTTTAATAACCACAATATAAAATGGCCATGCAAAAATTACTGGTTCTTAACCCTCATGACTCTCCCCAAATAAAGCCTTCAAGTACAAAGCAACCATGAAAAAAAGCAACTGAAGAAATAACCAGCAACACTCAATATTACTTTATAAACTTCCAAACATCTAAAAAAAAGTCTTTTTTTTTTCTTTTGCAAAAGCAAGACTTTTAGAAGATATTTCCAAACTTTCAGAAATTAAAGTCGAAGTAATTTTTGGAAGCCAAATGTGCCCAAGCTACTTACCCGGCCACCGTGCAGCTCCACGCCATAGAAGTCGAGGGTTCGTGCGATGTTGATGAAGCAAGATTCCGCTTCTGACTGCTTCAGCCCACTGCAGAAGAGAGGAGATGCAGCGTGCACCCATGAGAGGACGGCAACTCCGATGTAAAAGCTGAAGGCAAATCTAAAAAATCTGCTAGCATTACCCTAAGGGTACTAAATGCCTCATGGCGCCTAACCCTAAATTCCTGAAGCTTAATCGAACCCTAAGTTCTACGAAACCAGGGTTTCCTTCTCGTCCACTCAGACGTCTAGCCCATCATTTCACTATTAAAGACGCCTTCTCCTTGAGCGGGCTCCCCATGATCGGACAGCAGAGACCGTCCGTCGCCTTCAGAATTCCCACCCTACTGATTCCCAGCTGCTGAGCAGGTAACTGGGTAGGTCTTTCTGCCTTTATCTACCCTTTTAGCAGCAGCCTCCAACTTCCAAACGTCACTGTACTATTTTTAGGACGTTGGCTCCTGCCGGGGGAGCAATTCTGGGAGGCGGGATTGGCGGTGCCTTTTAGAAGGGACGCTGGGTGCTTGGCCTTTGTTTTTATGGCCTTCCCAAGGTCCCTCGAGACCGGCCTTCCAGTCAGGGGGGGCCGGCAGCTGTGAGTCAGCTGAGGCGAGGAACCAGGAGGCCAGAGGGGGTGTGTTTGTTGCAGGGAAGGCTCGGCTCCAGGCAGTCGCAGAAGCCTTGGGCTCCATTCTGGAAGTGAGGCAATTCCATGACCCGGTGCCAAGAGAGGACTGCAGACTGAGCCAGCCTGTCGGCACTTCTGTCCACCTGCCCCGTGCATTCGACCCCACCTGAAGGCGTGGACCATTTTACTCAATGGGGTGAACTGTTCAAAGGGTTGGCTGGTTAAGGGCCCGTGAGTGGGGCAGTCAGATTTAAAAGGGGCCTTTCCCTTCAGGAGTTAACGGATTTGCACTGCATCCGGGCCAAGAGCGCAGCAAATCGCCCTGAACTCTTACCGCGTTTTACACGTGACAGAATGCCAGTCCTGCCAAATATACACGCCCTCGTTACAGCTCAAAGGCTCGCAAACCCCCGGCATCCTGAAAGGATGCGTGAACAAAGGAGAGAGGAGAACAGAGCACACACAGGGGACACAGGGCTCACGGTACCCACTGGGGGTTCCCAAAGTAGGCCACCCATCCCTGCTCTCACCTGTGCTGCTCGTGGAGCGATTCCACCTTCGTGACAAAGTCATCGTTCTGATCTGGTATAAACTGGCTCTCAGAAAGATAGCCCGGGTGGTGGATGGAAGGATTATAGTCTCCAAAATGAGCTAGCAAGACAGAATGGGGAGGAAAACGTCCTTTCAACAAGGTCTGCTTTTACAAGCATCACAAGAAAAAAAAAACATTAATTGGAAACATTCTCCCCCAAAAGTTCTGCCCCCACAGGAACCTGAGCGTGGCCTCAGCTCCAGATCCCACATTCACGACTTGTCCTCTCCCCACGGGCGAAGCGCTGCCCCGCGTGCTCCAACCAAATTCTCTCTGCCCCTGGGGCTCACACGAGAGGGGAAGGGGAGATGGGTCGAATCCAGGTCCTGTTCTAATCCCACATCTGGTCGGCACAGCAGTTTGTGCTTATACCCCCGGATAAAGAAAAACAGGGAAACCCGCTCAGAGCAAGGCTACTCTCTGCGCGCCAGGCGCTGGGCCGGCTCTCTCTCTCTGCAAATTCTCTCTGCCCCTGGGGGTCGGTCACACGAGAGGGGAAGGGGAGATGGGTGGAATCTAGGTCCTGTTCTAATCCCACATCTGGTCGGCACAGCAGTTTGTGCTTATACCCCTGGATAAAGAAAAACAGGAGAACCTGCTCAGAGTGGGTTGTTTTAACACTGGACCGACCTGCTCTGAGAAATGGGTGAAGTCTGCATCTTGACTCACACCTCCTGGAGTCCAGGAAGTGTGGAAGGGAGGAAGCCAGGGTGTGTTCAGAGGCCCTGGGGTGGGGCAGGGAGTGTGAGGAATAGGAGTAGGTGGGACTGAAGGGTCTAGACCCTGGCAAGGCTGAGGGAAGAGTCTGGGGGAAGGAGGAAACATTCTTAGGGGACTCGGGTGCTAGGAAGACCGATGATGGGGCTGGCAGGGAAATAACATTGGGGACTTGCAACCAGAGAGGGGGAAGGAAAAGGGCCCACAGAGGAACTCCCAGACTAGCCCCTGGGCCTAATGGCACTTTCCCCTCCAGGTCCTGGACTGTTCTCTGCAGACGGGCCCGCTGGGGGCTGTGTGGGATGGGCATTCCTGAGAGCTGTGCAGTGCGTACCCAACCTGTCCCCGTGTGGGTGGCTGCCCTGAGGACTCGAGCACCTGAATGTGCCTCTGACTGTGGGAGACTGGGGGAAAAGAACCCCGGGTGGGGGGCCAAGGACCTGGCCTGGGTATCTGTATAGAAGCAGGAGTGAGAAAGACAGTGCCTAGCTGTGGCAGACAATGAATCTAGTATTTCACTTTCTTGACAAGACAAGGCTATTTCATCTTTCCAAAGGTTTTCATGTTGTCTTCCTGCGGCTGGCTTCAATGCCAAGGGGCTTCTGAGGACTTAGGATTGTTGCAGAGTACCCACTCAGCACAGAAGGTTTCTAAGTCTAACACCACTCGGCCGCCGCCGTCACACAGGCATGGGCTGGGGAGAGCGGGGTGATGCCTCAGGGCCAGCCCCAGGCAGGGCCGCTTTCTGGGATCACATTGTAAGGAAGGGTTCGTTTCCTCCTTGCACTGTTTCTTTTGGGCTGGGAGTGGGCCAACTCATCTTTAGGGCCTAACTCTTGGACATGGCAGGCAGTAGGTGCTCAGAACTGACTTGAATGGAGGCCACTGCAAAGTTCAGCTTTGGAAGGGAAGAGGGCAGAAAGCCACGTGATCTATGCATGCGGACGTGGTCAAGGGTAAACCACAGGCCATGAAGGCCAGCCAACTGTGGCTAAGCTGTGCATGGAAATGTGCAGACTGGATGATGTCAGCACAAGTGTTGCTTGCAAGTGAGCCTGTGCACAGTTAAGTGTGCAATGGCATGTACAGAAGTCACTTAGGTGTCCTGACCCAGGGTCCACAGAGAGGAAAGGTCAAGGAAGCCATGGCATCCAAACTCCTCATGTTAAAGGGCAGGAAACGAACGTGCAGAGAGGAGAAGGGACTTGTCCGACCACAGTGCCATTTTTTAGCAGTCCAGATCAGAATGCAGGCGATCCACACTTCGGCCAGTGCACCTGCCAATCCATCAACCTGCCTGCCAGGCCAGAGCTGCTGCAGCCAGTGGTCATGACCCCAAAGGGCAACCGAATGCCACAAATGATGTTCCTGAGCCTGGAGGCAGAGTCCTACTAATTTTACTGTGTTGGTTCCTTTAGCTCAGAAGACCCTCTTGGATCTTGATTCTTTTGTCCATCATATAACTAGCAGTCCCAACCCAGCATGAACGGCAAGGCTCTCTCTTTAGGCAAGTCACCCACCAATGTCTGAACTGAACACAGATAGATGAACCTCCCTGAAGGGTGGTTTTCCCTTGAAATCTCAGCCGGCCACTCTGTGTAAGTCCTGTGCTGACCACTAGGGGGAAACAAAGTTAACCGGTGACACAACATCTGGAAAGCCCAGGGAGGTTTCCACTTTGATTCCAAGGAGGTCACCGTAAGAGAGATACCCCTGATAACCCTGACATAGGGGATGCTTTCATCCCCGTTAAACAGATAATGGAACCGAGACTCAAGGAAGGGGCCTGCCCACTGCTGCTTAGCTGGTGGAGCCTAGACTCTGACCACCATCGCACTCTTTATTTACTACACACACGCCCAAGCCATACATGCAAAAGCTAATTATAGCAACAGGGAAGGGATACGAGGGCTTCTACCTGGGAAATACCTTGCCTTTTCAGTCCCATGCATTCTTCTGGCTGGCATTTTACATTTTGTAAAAACGAGAGAGTATGTTGCGGGAACTCAAACGTGTGGCATCTCAAGTGTCCATGCCATTCCTCCAACTCCCACTCAATCTTCGAGGCTCTTCTGGGGGATCTTCCCTGGGAAGCTGATCTGGGCTCCCTCCCTCTCCCCCACCCCAGGCAAGACCAGCAGGTCCTCTGTGCTCACCCCACCGCCAGCATCGCCTGGTCCACCTCTGCCTGCCCACCAGTATGGCAGCCGCTGGCCACCTGTGACTACTGAGCACTTGAAGGTGGCCAGTCCACACTGAGATGTGCTGCCAGTGCAAAGACTGATGGGTTTTCAAAGGCATAGTACAAAAAGAGTAAAATATCTCATTAATAAGTTTTTTCACTGATTACATACTAAAATGATAATATTCTGGATATACTGGGTTAAATATATTAAAACTAATCTCACCTGTTTCATTTTACTTTTTTAATGTGGCTACTCAAGAATTACATACAGAGCTCACATTATATTTCTACTAATATATATAATAGTAGAATATATATGTATATAATATATATATACATATATATATATATATATATATATATATATATATATATATATATATATATATATATAAATATAATATACCCATGAGCTCTATGGAAACTCTAAAAATAAATTCCTAAGATCCCAGCAGCATGTAGAGTGACACCAAGCAGGAAGCAGGAATGACCTCCAGCAAATTCCGTAACTTAGGTGGGGCTCAGTTTCCTGGTCTGTAAGAGGTGGCCACGGGGGTTCGTTGTGGAAATCAAATCCAAAATGTGAGCAAAGCCTCCAGAAAAGGTAATGGGCGATAGGTGTCTTCCACTTTATGGGCTCCCGGGGAGAAAACCTCACACCACTGCTCAGCTACTCTTTTTCCTTCAACCACCTTCCTGAGTGCAAGAGCCCTGAGCTGAGGGAAAGAGTAAGTCAGGCTGAGAGAGGAACTATCCGGACAACCAGAGACGCTTGCCCTTAAGAAGGGAGAGGGACACAGTCAAACAGGAGAAGCCGATGGCTTTCCCGAAACAGGGGTCAGAACAACCCGTCCGTTCATTCGTGACACGCTCCCTTGTGACTTACATTGTACTGCATAGGATGCCAGAACCACCGCTGAGTTAAGAGGGCAGGTCAACCTATCAGAAGAAAAACGCATTAGCAAAGGCACACGAGCCCGAAACACTCATTGATCACCTGTCTTTTCTTTCTTGAGTTAAGCATGAGACACACCATGAGCCACAGCAAAGACACATTTATGATACAACTATTAAGCAGCAAAGATGAATGTAACATTAGAGATTTCTAGAAATGGAAAGAACACGTTTCCATGTTTAAAAATAACACACGTAAATACATATGCCATGGAGGTCATGGCTGGCCAGAGTTTGGCTGGTCAAGAGAGGCCAGGCTCATATTGCTAAGAAAATGGAACGCTTAGGTCCACGGGCGCCCTTCCTATCTTTCGGGTAAAGACATGAGACTTTTCTTAGGGCTTTCTAACTACATCCCTAAGGTCTGCTGACTCAATGAATCTCAATTACTCACTTTCTAAAAGGGAAAAATACAAAGGCATTATGAATTTTAAAACCCCAGTGAGTTTTAAAATATATATTTTTTATTGATATTTTACAGAGAGGAAGGGAAAGGGATAGAGAGCTAGAAACATCGATGAGAGAGAAACATCGACCAGCTGCCTCTTGCACACCCCCTACCAGGGAAGTGCCCGCAACCAAGGTACATGCCCTTGACCGGAATCGAACCTGGGGCCTTTCAGTCCTTAGACCGACGCTCTACCACCGAGCCAAATCGGTCCCAGTGAGTTTTAGATTACCCAATTAAATCAGTTATTTAAGACTCCTCAATCTATGTGCGCCCTGAAGCTTCCAGTCTATGGAGAACGCTCTGTCCACCTCTCAAGCTCCTGCCATCTGCCAGGAGTCCACAGGCTCCAGACTGGACTTGTTCTTCTACCCTCTTAAGCTCACTGCCCTTTGGTATACCCCATCTCTGCCAGTGATTCCATCTCTGTCTCGGTCATATTTCAAATCCTCTGAGTGCTCCTTTTTCTCCGCTCCACCCGGGGTTCCACGGTCTACTGAGGAGCCCGGCCAGCAGGCCCGGAGCGGGGTCATCGCGAGGGGGAGGGGTGCATTGGGGAAGGGCTGAACGAAGCCGCAGGAATGAAGGCTTGCAGGGTGGAGAGACAGATTTTCAAAGCATTCTTCCCAGCAAACCCATGGGAAAGGGGAGAAAACACACGGTTTCCATGGCAGCCCATGGAGATATGAGTCACCCCAACATCTCTGACTAATCTGGCCGGCCTGTCTTGTGTGCTGCCTGTGTGCTGGCCCTGCAGCTGCTTGGGAAGGTGGCCTTCCCTCCCCGCGGGACCCCGACTTAGCGCTTCTAAATGCTCTCTCCAAGTCGGAGATACATCCAGGGATGCTCACTGTCTCTCTGTTCGTCTGGAGACCCAGAGAGTCCATGGGGAGAGCAAACATCAGCCACTCGCTCTCCTGCCAAGATGGGCTTCAGTGACATCTCAGCCGGGTTCTTGCTACAGAAAGAGCAGTTGAATGGGATTTGGGGAACATCTTAGGGGAGAAGCTAAAGGGTCTGTGGGCATTCCTGAGAGCTGTGCAGTGAGTACCCAACCTGAACCAGTGTGGGTGGCTGTGCAGTGAGTACCCAACCTGAACCAGTGTGGGTGGCTGTGCAGTGAGTACCCAACAATCCTACGGGTCAGTCAGGAAGGAAAACATCTCCACTAAGAGTGTAAACATGGTACAGAGCAGAGAACACCGAAAGCCTGAGTTGTACTCTGTGATTCAGCACTCCTTGTGGAAAGTGAGGTGCAGAAGATGCTCACAGGCCGCATCTTCCTAACAGACCCTTTCCTTCTCTCCGGGCTTTGGGGGTTTCCATCTGGGGGACGAGATGGCTTTTCTCAGCAGAAGGAACTGATGCCTCCGGTACTGCCTATCACGGACAGCTCAAACAGGTCAGGGCACGATTCGACACCCAGGAGGAACGCTCACTAGATCCACTAGGTCCGTCAGAGGATCCTGAGAAGCAGCTGGCAGCGGCAGGACCTCCCCTCAGACAGGTGGTGAGGGCCGCCTGCCAACCCGGTAGTGACAAGAACCCCAGGGTTCTCAGCCAGGAATTCGATCAATTCCCACAAAACTGCCAAGGGAGATTTCGTTTGGAGGAGAAAAAAACTGAAGATGATCGATTTCCAACACGTGGGGAGCTGGACTGAAAGCTCCGGAAGGGCAGGGCCTTGCCCTATACCGTCCAGCACAGTTGAGTGCCAGCACAGGTGCTTGCAAAGTATTTGTGAGACAAACCAATGAGTGAGGGGGAGGGGCATCTTTTCACTCACCACCCAGGGGGATACACCTCCTCACCTCGCTACCAATCCTAACCCCAGCGCATCGCAGCAGTGCGCAGACTCCCAGCCCACACCTGCATCTCCTCCTCCTGAAACCCTAGGACACATGCTCTCCACACTCATACTGGTCCTATGCAGCCTGCAAGCTCCCTTCCGAAAGCGAGAGCGCGAGGAGGCTCTGAAGACCGTCCTCAGCAGGACTGCACGGGCAGTGGGAGAGCGGATGGGGGGAATGGGAATGAGGTGGCCGTCCCCACCAGTCTACCTGCTGCACGTTCCTCCGGAAGCCAAGCGCAAACTTGGGACCGCTGGCTTGGCGTCTTCCGCCCGCCCTGAGCTTTCTGCACTTCACTTTCCAGCCACTGAGATGGTCCTGATACACAAGAAGTGCTGAATCACGGCAGGTGCTCATGTCTTCGAGCAGTGTCCCCAGAGAGGAAATGAATCACCCGCAGGTAGTCGGGGCTCCGAAGTGGACCTAAATGCGGCCTGACCTGCCTTCCTGAAGGAGGTCCTGTTCACTTTTGGGGTCCCTCCCTTCTCTGTAAAATTTCTCAGGTCTTTACGGGAAAGATATTTGTACCTTTTATAACAAAATCGAAACAACATGAAAATAATGTTATCGGTCCTTAGCCTCTGCAAACCAGGATCGAGTTGAACACACGTCCAAAGCACACGGAATGCTGCTTTCAACATCCACTCTCAGTGTGCGTGTAGCGTCGCTACCAGGGGTGCATGCTCATTCGATTAGAACCAGGGATTGTGCTAATCTGGCAGCTGACAAGGGGAAAAAGGATGCAAAATTCTCATTACCTTCCTTCACAGATATCCATCTTCAGTTGTAGGAAATACAAATGCCTATGAAACAATTATTTTCATTAATCCATCATATACTAATTGAAATAAGCAAAACAACAACAACAACAAAAACAAACAAACCAAAAAACCCCACCCAAAACACCATTGATGCATCAAGGATAAGACCTTTATTTAAAAAATAAAATACACAAAGGCACATTTTAATCTAAAGCATTAGGTATCATTTTGCACATTTCAAAGCTGCCCCTTCAGGAATAATGGCTCACATGGCTGTGTAAGTCTAAGTCTTGATTGGCAGAGCCTCATGCCACCTAATGCTGTCCTAAGGGGGGACGAGGCGGAAGCAGCCCATCCAGGATCAGCTGGTCAGTGAGTCCCAGACCCTCAGCCCGGACCTCCCCAATCAAACGTGGCGTGTCTGAGAGCACCAGGAACTACAGGCGTTTGCACCGGCAGCCCCTGCACACTGGAGTGGCTGCTGTTCTGAACGCGACATTCGCACACCCACGTGCCCTCTGCACGGAGTTGCTGAGGAGAGGAGGGTCTGTGAAGACATCTCCTTGGCTGGGGAGCAAGCACCCCGCTTGGGTTTTCTCCTGTGCCCCAGGAACTGTGGGTGCTCCAGCAAAAGCATAACCGTCAACTGCAGGCTGCCAGGACCTCCAAGCTGGATTGGGCACTTCTTTGTCAGCAGAATCACTTCGAAACCCGGGCGTGAGGTGTGGGCAGAGCTCAGTAAATCGTCAGACCCCCCTCTCAGCCTGGGAGCCCGCCCTCCAGCCAGGTGACGGGGATAGAGGCATCCACAGCGCCGTGCAGGCTGGGAAGGGCCTGCAGAGTGTTCTATTTAGGGATGCGGCACACCCGTGACACTTGGCTGCTCGCTCCTGCTCTTTTTTAAAGCCCGGACTCAGATGGGATAGACATTCCAGTGTCTGGCCAAGAGGACAAAAGCGAAACCTCTTGAAATACAATACAGATGCAGCAGAAGTGTTCAGGGGCCAGAGAGAGAGAGATCATTTTGGCCATGTAGACAGAGCATTCCCAGTATTCCTTCAAATTTATGCTTAAAGGTGAAGGTGCTGGTCTTTTGAAACGTGAGTGCCTCACACGGTATTGCACCTTCCTATGTGCACAGTCCCGGGCCGTGTGCATGGTATTTTAGAACGTACCGCCTCATTTCAGCTTCATAATAACTCTGTGAGGTAGGGACCACCACCTACATTTTTTTACAGAGGAGAACACTGATGTTCCAAGAGGTGATGTGGGGTCAGTTATGTCTTATTTTAACCTGGACACTAACACTATGGGAAAAAATCTGACTACACTACAGATTTACGTGGCTAATGGCTAAAAAGCTTAGGATCTATTTCCCAACACTGATGCTATTACTTTGACTGTAATCACCAGCTTCCCTCAAGGCGCTGAAGACCAGCCCTGAGAGACGGCAGACACAGACTTGCTGATTCACGTTTATTCCGTAATGGAATCTCTACCTTTTCCACCTAGAACATAATCCGTCCTTTCTAGTTTGTTTCTGTTTATCCCAGCTGACATTCAACCAGAATTAAGTGTTCTCTCCTTCCACAACACAACTGAGAGAAAGGAGAGAAGGGAGAGACTTAGACCTAATCCCGTGGTTAAAGCTGGGCTTTTGCGGATGAGCCCGGCTAATCGGAGCATCTTCCTAGGGATAGAAGCGAGAACACGAGGCTGGACATCGCCGTTCATCAAATGCTACCTTGTCGTACATTCAGCAAAGCTCCTGAGTGAACCCCATGACATCGTCACGAAGGGACCCGGATAGGGGCATGAGGCCTGAACCCAGCGGACCTCCCAGACATCTTAACGGAGCCTCATTTCGAGTCTGCCAGCAAATGAGATTCTGTTTAGAATGATCTTCATTGCTCAGAAGCATCCATCGTGGAGGGCATCATCAAGGGGACACTTCTTTCGCAGTTAGAATAAAGGAAAGACTTGGAGAAGAGACGCTGGCTGTGCCCATTTTCAGAATTCCAAGGATCGATCTTAGAGCACACCCCATCCAGGAGCTCAACTTCAGGAAAAAGCAACCCCTGCCTCCCTGCCTGGATCCTTAGGAAACAAATGTTACCTCTGTGTTCCTTCTCTGACTCTCGGGAGCTAAATTTCTAACTTTTGGAGAAGCTACCGAGCTGGGGTTTCAGGAAATTCTATGTGCCAGGAGCGCAGGTAAAACTCTTCATTTAAGTAAAAACCAACCACACACTCTCTCTTTCTTTCACACCCAGGGGTGGCTGCTGCCAGGCTCCTGCTGCATTGAAGAGAAATTTGGTGCCGAATCCTAGGAGGTGACATCTCTACGCTACACCACACTGGGGAGAAGACGGGAGGTGGTGAGTGGGGCTTAGAAGGAACGCATGGACAAACTGAACTTTACATGGGACTTAGATCTAAGAACAAAAATTAGCTTATTGCTCACCTTAAGCTCAAACCTGCCCTTCTGCAACCTCCAACCACTGGCCAGAATTCTACCACCTAGCTCATCCAATCCCCCTCTCCATCTGCAGATCAAGGGCAGCCTTTGCTCCCTTCCCAGTTCTCAATCCTGAACTCCCTATGGTTTCCTCAAATGTCAAGGCAGCAGGGCAGGAGGACGCTGTAGGCTCCAGGAGCGAGGGAGCGTCTCTCCCGAGGGGCACAGAAGTGAATGTCCAGTGATCAGGGAGGGTGCTGGAGAGGGCCCTAGACTAGGCTGCCCAGCAATCCCTCACTCAAGTTCTCTCTTTGGGGAGCATCACAGGGGGAAGAGGGGGGCTGGGTGATACATAATTTATACATAACCCACCATGCCATTTCAAAAGCATTCCTTGAATGGAACTTTGCTTTAGTAATGGCTTGGGGAAACCTTGGTAGGGTCATTTTAAACACATATTCTTACAATGTCTCCACTTTGCGTTGAGTCCGTGGGATTAGGAACTGATCTGCTAGGTGGAGCGTTCCTACACTGTCCCTCAGTCCAGCAGGGTAAAGGGCCAGTACGGGGGAAAACAAACCACCGTGTGCACGGCCATGGTTGCCCAATGGGTCACCATGAACATCTCTTAGACCGGCTTGAAATTTAACTTCACTGTAAACATAGTCAAATTGCCAAAGTCGGCAACTGCAGGGGAAGAGGTGCCCAAAGAAGGCAAAACAGATGGACAGACTGATCTTTGGCCTTTAAACCTATTCAAAGTAAAAATGTGATCATGTGACTACCATTAAAGAAAAAGAAAGGGTAAAAAAAACAAGATGGCATCCTGTGTGTGAGCTGACATCGCCGGCCCCGTGGTGGTCACAGGGCCACAGTGAGCACAGGACAGGATTCAGTATTCTTGAACATCCATTCATTACTTTTCCTGGTGGAAGTTTCCCCCCCTCAGGAAAAATAAAAGTGTCCCCAATAAAGGGCTTAACGCTGCCATGGGGAGAAGCAGAGGCATGGATGAATTTGCCCGGTACCTGTCCAAACAGCCACCACTTTCCTGCGCCCGCCCCCTCCACTCCAAACAGCAGTTCCTGCCCAGAAAACCCACGTGTCAGCGCCAGCACACAGCTGGGGCCAGACACCGAGCCCAGTGAGGTAAACAACTCCTATCACAGCCCTTATCTGGTTCACACACTGTCTGCACGGGCGGATTCAGGGAGGAGAGAAGCTGGCCAGCTGGTTCTTCTTTCTGCCTCCTGCCAATGGGATCACAGAGAATTCTTAGCCCAGAGATCTCCTGTTATCCTGAAGAGCCGCAATCCTAGCCCTTCGCAGACACGTGCTCTGGGATCTGTACACGAGCATTTTACAAACTTGTCTTCCAAGCCCTGCCTGCATGAGCAGAAAGGACTTGTTCTTTGAACACAGGAGCTCTATAGGCAGAAGGGGCGGGGACGGGGAAGGTGAGGGAGACAGGTCCCAGTGGGGGAGGCAGGACCAGGTGGGAGTGCACTGGGAATCACACGTGCCAGGAGGGGAGAGAGGCAGGCCCAAGACTGGACAGGAATGAGCTGACTCAAATTTCAACCTGTGTACTGCACCCCGCACTCCATTTTCATTGGATCGTAACTGTTTGCGCCGTTATACCCAAATGAAGCCTTTGGCCACAGTGAGAAAACAAAAGAACACATTTTTAGTGATCACTCATTTTTTATATACTAAGTAGAAAACTTTAAAAAAAAATGTTATTACCTGGTTTGTTCTTGCTGCAGTGTGTTGGGATCAGGTATAAAAAATCTTACTCGAAAATGCAGGGTACAGGGGAAACCTCCTACAACATTTTTCAAAAACAAATTAAAATTTCCCTTTAAAAACAGTCAATGCACATAAGCGGCAGCTCTCCCTAAGTGATGCATTTCTCACTACACTATAGCTTTCCCATTAAGAGCATTAATATATATATATATATATATATATATATATATATATATATATGAGTGCATAAGGTAATTGACTGTTCAGAAATCGTCACGTCTATAAGAAGTAAAATATTTTTGCAACATCAGCATAGAATGAGGCTTTATCTACAATACTTCCTAGTACAGGCTTAACTTAGGGCTGTGTTCATACGGTACATTTTTTTGTATTAGGAATTTTAAAAAAATTTCTTAAATCAGCAGAATATACAAAATTCACCAAGAAATATTATCTCCCACAGATAGAGATTTTACACTTTTCAAACATTTCCATGTACATTCTCGATTTTAACACTGCTGTGGCCAGGCGAGGCTGCTACTGCTAGCTCCCTTTTACAGGCTTAGAGTGTGACATCACTTGCCTTAGGCCACACAGCTGATCACAGAACCGGAAGGATAGCCCTGTGGCTTCTGATTCTGCTAGGCCACATTTCAAACACATTTTTATACTAAAAGACACATCATGCTTTTAATGCTATTCAATAAGTGAATCCCAAAGTGATCAACATGTCAGCAAATACTACATAATTCACATACTCAAATATGGCTTCATGCAACAATACCAAGAGTCAAAACTGCTTGTAGGAACAAAATAAGCCCGTTTCTTTTGCTAGCTACGGCAATACGGGAGTACCAGGTTGTGCTGCTAAGAATCATGTCCTTCTTCATGTCAGTCTCGCCCTCCCTGCTGCTCGGTAATAGTCATTGGCCCTATCTAAGGGCACAGCACTGACTTGCCCTCTGAAACTCGAGCCTTCTCCACCAGGGGCCTCTCACTCACCTCCTCTACCTTAGTTCATGCTGGGCTCCACCCTGCCCTCTCTTTAATATCGCCTCTCTGATCTTTGGCTTGGGTCAAAGACTCTCATTGGTGTGTGTGTGCACCTATGCACGGACCTGTGTACAGGCGCCTGGGTGCCAGAGTGGGTGGTGCTGTGACACTGGGTGCAGGCTGAACACCTGCGCATCGGGGGATAGCTAAGTCCTCCCACTGCCTCCGGATGGCATTCCGGCTGCACGTTGTCACTTAGATTGTAAGTCATCACCGTGTGCCTCGGACAAGCCTCCACGTCTTTCTCACCCTCCTCTGTGCACCCAGGGCATCCTATCATGTGCCCCAAACCACGCTACAACTGTCTGCCATTTCAGAAGCATTCCGAGAGTCCCCGCACTTGGCTGTGAGCTCCTTAAGGGAAGAGTCCAAATCTGATCTGATCTGGACCAGATTCCCAGAGCTGAGCCGGGTGCCTTGCCAAAGCCTGAGGGAGTGCACCAGGCAGAGGACGAAGGACAGCCCCTGTGCGTGTCTGTGTGCACGTATCCCTCTGTGAATGGAAAGGAGGCCGGGGGTTATCTGCACAAAGGCTCTGGGGCTCCCTGGGGGTACTTCTGAATGCCAAGGACACACCCATGGGAGACAGGGATCTGCGGCCCAGGCTCCAGGGGAGAGCAGCTGTGGGATCGGGGTCTGGACGACTGTTTCTGCTCCTTCCCATCTGGGGGCTAGGGTTGCAGCATTTGTGCGTGCACACTTCTGTGAACAAATCCACCGCCTTCACCCCTCAACCACTCACTGGCCACCTCCTGTGTGTTGGGGGGGGGGAGTGGAGGGGGACTCCAAGGAATGCAGAGAGGATGCCCTGCCTCTCACTCTAAGCTAAGAAAGGTCATCCTCCCTCACCCTGCAAGCTCCTTGACAAAGAGAAAGGCAGGTAACTAGGAGCTGAAGGAGAGAGTGTCCCGGGGCACGAAGCGGAGAGTGTAAATGTAAGCGGGGGCAGAGGGATTCAGGACTTGCAATAGGGGAAGAAATGGGATCTGAGCAGCTTTAAAGAAGGACAAGGTTTGGATCTAGGCAAGCAGGAGGGAAAGGCATTGCCAACAGAGGGAACAGCATGAAGGCAGGCACAGAGGAGTGTGTCTGGGGCCTAAGGTGCAGAAGGAGAAGTAGAGTGTGATGCTGAGAGCCCGCCGAACTGGGAGTTAACCTGCCCTGGGGCAATCATCACGGTGGATGAGCTGTATGTTACATTTCTGATGCCGCCTACCTGTGCCTTGGTTTCCCGTGACTGGGATTAAGCTGCTGGGAAGGACTAGGTGTGTGTGTGTGTCAGCCTCTCTGTCCCACCCTGCCTCTCACTCTGGGCTAAGAAAGGCCATCCTCCTTCCTTATAAAAAGAAAGTGGGTTCTCTGGCTCTTGGCTGCCTTCTTCCACCCTCCCCTGTCTTGCTCACAGCTGGCGGGAACCCCTGGAGGCTGGTCTGGAAGCATCTCACTCACGCCGCCTGGACCACCTGGAGTCCAGGTTCCAGGTGTGACAGGCACCCTGATGATTAGGGGGAGAACTGGGCCACGATACACTAACACCAAATGAGTGTCCAAATGAGAAGGTCACACCCACCTTTTAGCTGCTTCCTGATGGGCTTGCTTGATTCCAGCCACCTCTGCTGGTTAAGAAAACATAAGATATAAAAAAACCAAACTGTGCAGAAGTCTAGCACGTCTTAAAGGGACGGTACTCACGGGAGAGTCCGCTGATTCCTCGCCATGCTGCAAACCAAAATATTCCTTTTCGGTCACGCACAGGTGGTTGTATGCCATGTCCAGGAGAACTTGACCGGTGTCCTGTTTCTAGGAATAAAAAGTCGGGTGGGTAACATTTTAAAACGAATTAAGAACCAGTGGTCAAAAATCTTTACTGTTTGGCTCAGTGGATAGAGCGTCAGCCTGCGGACGGAAGGGTCACCAGGTTCAATTCCGGTCAAGGGCATGTACCTTGGTTGCGGGCACATCCCCAGTAGGGAGTGTGCAGGAGGCAGCTAAATGGATGTTTCTTTCTCATCGATGTTTCTAACTCTCTATCCCTCTCCCTTCCTCTCTGTAAAAAACAATAAAATATATTTTTTAAAAATCATTACTGTAACCCGGCCAGTGTGGTTCAATGGTAGAACGTCAACCCATGAACCAAGAGGTCAGGGGTTCGACCGCCCGTCAGGGCACATGCCCAGGTTGTGGACTCGATCTTCAGTAGGGGGCACATGGGAGGCAGCTGATCAATGTTTCTATCTGTCTATCCTTCTCCCTCGCTCTCTAAAAATCAATAAAAAGATAACATTTTATTTTAAAAAGTGCTTACTGTAAATAAGGAGTTCAAACTTTCAGAGATTTTATGTGCACACATATCCCAAGATAAGAAATGCTTTAACAAAATGCAAGTTCAGAAGCCACATGGTACGTGTGGGAAGCAGGCTAAGAAAAACGACCCAAGGAGGGCTGAAGACAGCCCAGTTTAATTCTGTCAGACTTCCCGCTTCCCCTCAGCCGAGATTCCCCAAGCGATGAAGCCTTAATTGGGAAACTCAGCAGTCACAGCGAGCGCGCCCCCGTGCCCCACCCGTGGCTTATCCCCAGCAGAACGCTAATCCCTCATGGGCTCTCGAAGGCTCCTCCGGAGGCAGGGACTGCGCACAGGGCTGAACAAGCTCCCTGCTGACCACGTGAGGGAAGAGGGCTAAGAAACTCCAATGACACCCAGAATACCCTCAGAGTGCTCCGGCATGTGACACCCTGCGGGATTATCTGCCTCACTGCTCCTCGTCATCTGAAGTGAGAAGCCGGTGGGGACATGCAACCACTTCACATCCAGAGTGGGGCTCAGCCGCCTTCACCACTCAGAGCTGACGCGGCAGGCACGAGGCTGAGCATGGGACAGAGGCACAGGGGTGTCTGCTCCTGCCCTCTCTGGGGACAGAGTTATCGGGGGTGTCCGCTCCTGCCCTCCCTGGGGACAGAGGCACAGTGGGTGTCTGTTCCTGCCCTCCCTGGGGACAGAGGCACGGTGGGGGCAGGGGGTGTCCAATCCTGCCCTCCTGAGGCCAGCGGGGGAGCTGTGAGATGCTCAGGGCACTGCGAGCACACAAGAGGACAGCACCAACGTTTAGCTCAGCCTGGAAGCATGCCCCCTGCAGCCCCTGGCCCGGGCCTGGGAGGGTGGCGACTCAGGAACACCTCCCCTATGCGTGCAGGAGCGGGAGCGGGAGCAGAGAAAAGAATGTGAAGCAGGGACCTCTGCACAAAGGCACAGGGCCAAGAAACAGCGAGGGGCGCTGAGGAAATGGCAAAACCTACTTCAATGCCCCGACTTCTCGGGAAGCCTTTGAACCAAACCACTGGCCTGAAGGACAATTTGAGTCAGAAATAGACCGCGTATAGAAGAAGCAAAAGCAGTTTTGTTTTTTTAGTTTTTTTAGGGTATGTGTGTGCAGATAATGTACCTGAAAATAGGTCGCAGCCACTAGGAAGAGGACATTAGGTAACTGTCAGGCCCCTTCCTGCAGCCTCTGCCTTGGCTCGGTCTCATGTTATCTGATCTGATGCGGGAACAGGAGACACGCCCAATGCCTGCACACATCCCCTTTCCCTGCCGAGGGCCTATTCCTACCACTTCCTCTGCCCTGGCAATCTCCATCCCCAGGGAATCACAATGGTGTGGAAAAGATGACTGGTCCACTCGTTCCAAAACCGTGAGATTCCCTCCCCCTGGAGTGAGACACGCTCTCGGTGTGTCAGAGAGCTATCTGCTCCCCAGGTTGAAAGGATTACTTCTATGACTTTACATCAGATTAAATTTGTTATTATTATTATCATTATTATTTTTGTTAATCCTCACCCGAGGACATTTTCCCACTGATTTTCTAGAGAGATTGGAAGGGAGGGGGAGAGACAGAGAAATATGGAAGTGAGAGAGACACATGGGTTGGTTGCCTCCCACACACACCTCACCAGGGGCAGGGATCCAGCCTGCAACCGAGATATGTGCCCTGGACCGGAATCGAACTTCTGATCCTCTGTCCATGGGCCAACCCTCTATCCACTGAGCCAAACCCACCAGGCTTAATATATTATTAAGAACTATAATCCACTGAACATCCCCGAGGAGCCAGACAGGATACTAATACGTGCTCTTTATAAACACAACGTCTCATCTTTGCAAAGTCACCCTCAGGGACTTCTTCGCCGATAAGCAAACAGGGGCCCTGGAAAACTCAGAGTCTTGGGCCATCGGCCGAAGGATGATCTGCCTGACGCAGGCCCATTGAATGCGAAAGCCTGCCTGGTCCCCCTGCACTGCCTCTCTTCTGGAGTGCATAATCCTCCACGCCAGTATCTCTTGTGCACAGCTCGCCCAGGTCTCAAAAGAAACAGAAACATAGTAAAGGGGCACACTTATAATAAGCACCAAGCCTCCCTCCCGATCCAGGCCCCATCCCACGAGAGCTCGTCGGTCAACGGCCAGCTCGCTCCCTGGGCTGGGCTAAGGACAGCCGATGACCAGGCCAGCTTCCCTGATCGTGCCCGCTCCTGGCAAAGACCATCCAGGCTGCAGGGGCTGAAGGACACAGTGCAGACAATCCCCACGAGCACAGGAATATAAGGCCCCGGAGATTCTAAGCTGCCAGCAGGCCCCCTCCGCTTCCAGTTCAATGTGAGTAAGCTCTGACCCGGCGGCCAGAAGCCTGGGGAGGCAGCATGGGCCGCAGCCTGATGGCAACAAAGACGTTCTCAGCCTGGAAGGACTGGGCAGCCGCTGAATGCCAGGTTTACGGGATCCCCACTCCGGGTGGGTGCTTTCCTTGTCCTCGTGCACAGGGCTCGCCACTCCTTACACACGTTCTTCGCTGGGATTCGAAGACTCTTGCTCTTGGTTTCCTCTTCCCTCCCCAGATAGTCCTCTGTCTCCTTTGACTGCTCTGTCCTCATCTCTCCAACCTTTGAACATCGAACCTCCTTCGTATCTCCTGCCCACTCTCTTCTCGGGGAGCCTCATCCAGTTTCATAGCCCCAGACACCATCCCTACCCGGGGATGTATACCGGCCTAGACTCCTGACTCATATTTCTAAGGCCATGGCTACGTCCCCTCGAGGGTGAGTAACAGGCATCTCAAATGGTTACGACAGGATGGTCACTTCTGCTCCCCTCGCAGCCTTTCTCATCTCTGTAACCTGCAACTCTGTCCTCCGACTGCTCCGGCCCAAAACCCGAGTCACCTTGAGGCTTCTTACACATCCCAAATCCCGTCTGCCAGCCAGTCCCACTGGCTCCACCTTCAAAGTGTCTCCTGACTTGGTTTACTCAGCCACCTCCACACTACAACACTGTCCAATCATCATCTCTCCCCGGGGGTGGTTACAACAGCCTCTGAGCCCTTGGCCCCAGTCTACTGGTGACCGAGCATCCAGAGTGACACCAAGAGTCAGATCATGTTGGGTCCCTACCCAAAGCTCGCAATGCATCCTTCCTCCTTCAGAATGACCTATAAGGCTCTGCACAACCCTCCCCACCTCAACGGACCTGCTATCTCTCTGACCTCAGTCTCCTTGCTTATTCTTCTCCCGACACAAGGGCTTGGCACACTGCTCTACAACCACACTAACCAGGATGCTGCCCCAAGGCCTTTGCACTGCCGTTTCTTGAACCTGGAATGTGCTTCCCCCAGAGAAGGACAGGGTTCTTTTCCTCTTCACTTCCTTTAGGTGAGGCCTTTCCCGGCCACTTGTATAAAATGACAACCCCACTTCCCGGTCCCTCCATGGCACTCTCCATCTTCTTATCCTGCTTTATGTTTCTTCCAAACATATACAACCACTGACAGTATACGTTTGTTTATGGTCCAGTTCCTCTCTGGGATTTTGCTGTTTTTGTTCACGCCTCTATCATTTGTACCCAGAACAAAGCCTGGCACATGGTAGGTGCTCAGTAAACATCTGTCAAATAAACATTCATGTTCTTGTCAGGAAGAAGTCGCACAGCTGAGGAGCAGCTCCCGGTTGACAACATACATGTCAGCAAAGGAGTCAGCTATTAACTGTCAGTTTACAGCCACTAGAAGAGATACGTGTAATCTTTGCGGAGCAGGTTCAGTCACAAAATTCTACAGGTGATGATGTCAAAAGGAAACACCATCTAGAACAAAGTTTAGTGAGCCAAGAGCAGTTGCGTTTTGAGGGAGGTACATCTGATTTTGACAAAAGGGCCCTACATCGGTGGTCCCCCAAACTGTCATGTGCATCAAGATTGCTTGAGGGGCGTTAAAAGGCAGATACTCCAGGGAGCGTCTCAAACACCAGGTAGGACAGGGGATTTCTATTGTATTTCTAACACGCATCCATGGGGTCCTGAGGCACTTTCAGAAATATTTACCAGGGCTGCACCACCCAGAGTACATACAACTATTTACATTGTAATCAGCTAAAATAAAGTTAGTCCGGTGTTCTAGCCGCATGTCCAGTGCTCCATGGCCCTGTGCGGCTAGTGGCCCTGTGTTGGCTGCTGTGGACACAGGACACTTCCTGGCACTGCAGTGCTGCCCTAGGGGGTGTCTTTTCTACAAACTGGTTTAAGAAACAGGTCACAGGTGTATTCCCAGGCCCCTAGACTCTAGACTAGGGATGTCGAACTCAATCAGAGAAGGGGCCAAAATCTAAAATCCAGCCTAAATCGCGGGCCGAATGGTTTACTGAACAGTCATAAACTGTCATTGTGATGGGAACGCAGCGGAGTGCAGTGATGACAGCGCGGTGCGGGCCACATTGCAAGGCCTGGCGGGACGGATTTGGCCCGAGGGCCTTGTGTTTGACACATGTGCTCTAGACAATCACACGCCCTTGCTGGGCGTGTCCTTCTACAATAATGCCCCCCCCCCCCACCTGCAAAAGAGCGGGGCCCCGACCTTAGAGGAGGCCTGGGTAGCTGTGGGAGTGGAGGGGGCAGTTGGGTAGAAAGTCAGGGAATCTCTCTCTCTACTGTCCATTCCCACTCTCTGCCAGGAGAGAGGCCCAAACTCCAGTGTCCTTAGTCATCTTGTCCCCTGAAGGCAGACAAACCCGCTGACTTGACCCTGAACCAGGAAGGAGAAATTAGCCCTCAGGAAATCTGCCCTCGAGACCCTGACCCAGGCTCAGCAGAAAGCAGAAAGCAGACCCGGGCTCAGCAGAAAGCAGGGTGGGGCAGGAGCCACAGGGGTCAGCTTTTGTTGGCCTTTCCATTCTTGCGGCCTTTTATCAACCTCCAGTTATTCTCTCATCCCCCATCTTCTCTTTCTGATACCTTCCCTTGCACATTGAACTTTCCAGGCTGGGGCAGATGCTGGCAGCCAGCCAGGTTGGGGTTGACCCCTTTAGGGTGACAGGATGGGAGCGATAGGCAAAGGTCACGAGCCTCTGTGGTAACTGCGGTGGAGGAGGAGGTGGGAGGCAGCAGGACTGCTACTCTTCCTGCATCTTTCTGCTGGGACACTGGAGACCTCACTCCTAACCCTGCCTCTGCCTCGGGCTTGAGGTGGGAGAAACCAGGCCTCCCCTGAGCTCTGCCACCTGTGAGGCTCACTCCCGTTACCCTCCTCCAGGCAGGACCCACCCATTTGCACAGTTAATGAGCACCTGCTCAGCCCTATGCCTCACTGGGAATTAAACCTTGGACCTTTCGGTATAATGGAACGACTCTCCAACCAACTGATCCACATGGGCCAGTGCGTGGACATAGTTTTTTAAGGGTCTTTTTACTCCAATCTCAACTTACAAGACCTGAGATCTCAAGCTTTCGTTTTAAAATAGTTTTTCCATCTCTTGATTTATAAGATGAAGGAAACATTATTTCTTAGGGGCATTACCTCAGAAAAAAAATAAATAAATTTGGAGAACTTACATTAACTTTAAAGGTCTGTACCGAGCCATCTAGAAAGCGGATGCTGCACACGACTTCGGATCGAGCTTTCTCTTTCGGCAATTCTGAGGTGCGAATGTTATTAATTCTTCCACCAAACGCACGTAATCGGGAGGTCATAACTATCGCTGAATAACCTGCAACAGAGGATGCACCCGTTAGCTCTCTGATATGCAAATTAACAGTTACATGCAAATGCACCTCTCAGCCTGCCAATCCCAAACCTGTCTGCTTTGATCTTCACAATAGGAGGACCTCACGAATAATGTGAACTATAGATAAAAGATCATGCTTCTGCTTAAGTTTTGACTTCTAGGAAGCTCTAAGCAAAGCATATTGTTAAATTATGATATGTCTATAGAATTACATGGCTTGTTTGTGTTTTATTATCTTAGCCAGATAATATGTTCCCTCATATATATGTATTTCCCATGCTTTTAATTTTTTATTTATGTTTTACTATTTTATATATTTTTGTATCCTACCCCTAAGGATTATAGAACTAAATGTGATATAAAAAGGAAATAAAATATGAAGGCATTGACTGATAAGTTAGACTGTATTAAAATTAAGAACTTCTGTTATTAAAAGACACTATGTAAAAGAATAAAAAGGCAACCCACAGAAATATTTGCAAAATCTATAAGTATACAAAGAGCTCCTATGAATCAATAAGAAAAACAAGCAAACAACCTGTGAGAATAAAGAAGCCACATCATTTGTCAGTGGAGTGCAAGCTAAACCCACAAAGCACTAGTCCTACGTACCCACCCGAACGGCTGCAGGGAAATCTGACCAAACCAAGTGCCGTGGTGCACAGGGGACCTCATGCACAACTGGTGAGGGCATTCTGTTTGGCGGTACCTCCTAACCTGAACACATGCATATTAGTCTGTGACATAACTCTACTTCAAGGCTATTCCCAACAGAAATATGTACATTTTTCATGGCAGCACAGTATGCCGAGTGCTACTTCCTTCCTCCTGGCTCACTAAAATACATGTTCAAGTATCTTCATAATAGCCCCAACCTAGAAAAGACAGAAATGGGTAAGTTGTGGAGTAGCACACCGTGCATGACTATACAACAAAGGAAATGAAGGAGCCCGGTCTGGCTCAGTAGAAGAGCCTGGGCCTGTGGACTGAAGGGTCCCAGGTTGGATTCCAGTCAATGGCACATGCCCAGGCTGTAGGCTCAATCCCCAGTAGGGGGCGTAGGCAGCTGATCAATGGTTCTCATCATTGATGTTTCTCTCTCTCTCTCTTCCTCTCCCTTCTTCTCTGCAATCAATAAAAATATATTTTTTTAAAAAAAGATGTCAAAAGCAGTTCTATGAATTTTAAAAAAAGGAAATAAAGGAACTATTGTCACATGCAACATGAATGAATGTCTCTAATGGTATGTTGAGTAAAAGCAGCCAGACCTAGAGCATGAACACAATTACATAAAGTCAGTTGGGCGCTAGATTTATTGGGATAATCACCTAATAAGTTAGGTACTGAAATGTCTAATCACTAGGGTGTAACGTCTGATTACCTGAAACTAATAGAATAATGTATGTCAACTGCAACTAAATTTTTAAAAAATGATTTTTTAAAATCCCACACTTTTCCCTTTTGGTAGCCCTTTGGGGCTCAGTAAGATGCTGCCCCACTCATGAATCACTTAATAAATCCAGATCTAAAAAAAAAAAAAAAAAAAAAAAAAAGCAGACAAAACTAGTCAAGTTTATAGAAAACAGGATGGTGGTTCCCTTTGGGTGTAGGGACTTAGGGGGGCCCAGGGCCTTCTGGGATGCTTATACTATTCTATTTCTTGATCTGGATGCTAATGAGACTGGTGTAATCCACTTTGTGAAAATCCATCAGGCTCTACATTTATGATTTGTGCACCTTTATGTACATGTATATCAATAGCAGGTTTATTTACAAAGAATACATGTCTGAAGAAGGGATTTGTGGGTATGTTAGCATCTGACCATGGTATATCCAGGCAACAGCAAGGAAAGTGGTTTTACTAGTGAATGTAATTGTGGAGTGGTCGGCTAATAACCTGAAAAAGTGTGCAACTGAGCACACGGTCCCATCATGCAGGCAGGAAGCTAAGGATCAAGGTCAGTTTAAGGAATGAAGCAGGTGTAAGTCTGACGGGGTGGGCAGAAGAGCAGCTAAAGATGAAGGACCTACGGGCAATGTAACGATCCTTTTTATTAACTCTCCTCAAACCCTCTGGAATGCTCTGGGTCTTTGCACCTGCTGTTCCCTTCTGCCTGAAAGCTATCCCTGCTTTGTACTTACATAACTGCTGTCCACACCTCAGTGTTCGGCACAGCATCACCTTCTCAGGTAAGCCTTCCTGGTGTCCCCACCACTCACTCGTGTTACAGGCTCCCCACTACAGTGCTCATCATGATTTCACATTTATAACTAACTAGAGGCCCGGTGCGCGAATTTGTGCAGCGATTGGGCCGGGCTGGCTGGGGGGAAGGACTGGGGGCAGTTGGCTGGCTTGTCCCCCATCAGGGTGGGAGTGACTAGGGGTGGGGCCAGCTGGGGGGGAGGGGCCAACCAGGGAGGCCCGCTGGTCGAACTCCCAGTGGAGGGAACAATTTGCATATAAGCCTTTTATTATACAAGGATGATGTGATTATTTAACATTTACTCCTCCCACTGAGTGTGAGCTTCGTGAGGGTAGGAACCAGGTCTGATTTTGCTCACTTAGCTCTGGGAGGCAGTCAATGGATTTCTAATGAGTGAAAGGCAGAATAAGATTAAAAAAAAGAAAAGAAAATGAAGCCAAGAGTTACAGTGTGGATAAACAGCAGTGCAACATGACAGACAAACGTGTGCTGGGGGGAGTAGGCAGGAAGAAGTTTGGGATCGGGGCTTCACATAGAATGCAGCCTGGGGATGTCCTGCAGAGCAGCCAGCCTCGTGCTGTGGGATCTTAAGATGTAGGCTCAGGTTCAACTAAGTCTGGGTGGGGCCCTAATGCCTGCATTTCTTGGTCTCCCAGATGCTGCTGAGGCTGCTGGTCTGGGGTCCACACTGGAAGGGCGAGCCACCGATAACTGGAAAAGCAGCACCCGACATCAGGGCCGGGCCAGATCGGGGAATCGGGAGCAAGGGAGGGCTGAGGACCAAGCAGAATCAAGCCTCGGGGAGCCACAGATCACGGCTCAGCTGCAGGAAGTGAAAGCACAAAGGAATGAAAGCTGAGTCAAAGATACATCCCAGAGAGAGGGTGCAGGGATCCCTGATCCTGTTTAAGGAGCTCCGGGTGAACCTCCATCCTCCTGAAGGGAAGAGTAGGGAATCTCGTATTAATAATAATATATATTTTTAAATGCCCTAACTGGTTTAGCTCAGTGGATAAAGCATTGGCCTTCAGACTGAAAGGTCCCGGGTTTGATTCCAGTCAAGGACATGTACCTTGGTTGCAGGCACATCCCCAGTAGGGGGTGTGCTGATTGATGTTTCTCGCCCATTGATGTTTCAAACTCTTTAACCCTCTCCCTTTCTCTCTATAAAAAAATCAATAAAATAAAAAAATAAAATAATAAAAAAAATTCCTGGGACCAGCAGTGGAAGGAAACTTGTTCTGAAACTTATAAAATTCCACCTACCCCCAACCCCCACCCTGCCATTTCCAATGCAAATGTCACAGGAGCAGGAATGCATTTTTCTGAGTAATACCGAAAGTTATCCAACCACAACAAATGTGTTCTGTTCCAGAAGGCCTTAAAACCACGCTGAATGTAAAATGCCAAGTTTATTGTTTAGTCCTTTTCTAAGAATTTCAGGTGGGTTAGGACTTTTTTTTATTTTATTTTTTTAAGATACAATAGAACTATTAGTGGGAGGTGCACAGCGGAGTCCCCCGGGGAGTTTTTAAAAAATATGCCATCCTGGCCCCAGCCATAGATGGTGATTCAGCACCTGGGGGTGGGGCCCAGAATGCCATTCCCTTTGGGAAGCTCTCAAAAGAAGGGCCTGAGAGTCGAGGGCTAGAGGAGTAGGGGGTTTCTGGTACCGAGGGACCTGCTGCCCACAGTCAGATCTAGAATACAGGCTCTGCCAAACCTGAGCCATTCATGGTGGGGCCACTGGTGGGACCCAGGCAGGTCCTCAGAACAGCTAAAACAGAGAGGGAACCATAATCACACCGTGACTCTAGACAGAAAGAAACCCAAAGGCGATTTCCAATAGGAGCTGCCCGATGAGTCACCTGGATGGAAGAACCACCGCGGGCACTGATTGTCAAGCCGCTCCTCATCTGAGACTCCCTGCCGCCAGCGCCAGCATGGGTACCAGCGGGTCCTCTGAGCTGAACCATAGTGCTGCCCAGCATAATCAGGGCAGGGCCCGCTGACAGAATGCGGTAAACCGGCGACCCAGAACAGATACACTTTGTCCTCCTCACGTCAATCTTGGTTACATAAAGGGGCTGGAATGGCACTTAATGACAAGCCTTAAGTGGGCACTTCACAAAAGTGGCAGCAATGTTCTTCCCGCCATTGTTCCCAAGGCAAACCTTGATAAGAGGAAGCCTGATAAATAAATAACCGCACAATCTGTTTGCAGATTGTCTTGAAATGGCATCTTAAACAATCCAGCCAGGACAATGGGTGCTGACTAACTGCCCGCTTCCTGTAGCACAGCGATTGCGGCACTCGGGGCTTTCTATGGCTTCCTTTATAAGCCTCTTAGTTCTAAACAAAGCCACAACCTGACCAGGAACACTCCGGCCTCTCCCACCACTAATGATTACAGCTGCAGCTGATGCATTTATCAACATGGAAGCCAAGCGTGCTCAGTGCGTGCTTTTTCAAAAAGCAAATAGTCACGGATTTGTTCTGCACTGTAAGAAGAGAGGTTCTACTGTCACTATCGTTTTTATCAAAGATTCTACTGGCAAAACATAGAAAAGAGGCCACATCTCACTCTGTGCACCGTAGAGGCCCCATAGGTACAGAAAGCGTGAGGGCTAGCAGGTGTAAAGCACCCACACAACAGAACACCGACAACAGAGAGCTAATCAGATTAAGTGGGCCACATACCAGGTACTCAATAAAAGACATTTTATTAATAACTAGTGGCCCAGTGCACGAAATTCGTGCGCGGGTGTGTGTGTGTGT